ACACACCACAAGTGCGTTCCCCACGCACAGGGCCCTCATCCATCGTGAGAACTCGGGGATCAGAGGACAGGCAGGGCTGGGCCAGCTAGGAAAGACCCTTTAAAGGCTGCTTTCTGTCTCAGGAAGGCCTGGGTCTGGGGGAGGCTGGGTCGCGGGCAGTGTGTGACAAGGAAAACGTGGGTACAGATGCCCTGGCAGTGGTCCCGTGGAGAGCAGCCGATGCCACATTCTGCCCAGTGCTGCCGTGAGGCGCTCAGGAGCCTGTGTTTCAGGCCACGGATGTGGCTGAGCTTCTCTCATTGCTGTGGGGTCACTTCCGTCTCGGGGGTCCCTGGGAGGATGCCAGGAGATAAACCCCAGGCCTCCGGCATGCAAAGCCTCACTTTTTCTCGCCTTTTCGGGTCACACCCGACGATGCACAGGAATTCCTCCTGGCGGTGCTCAGGGGGCCCTATGGGATGCTGGGAATCGAACCCGGGTCGGCAGTGTGCAAGGCAAACGCCCTACCCACTGCGCTATCACTCCAGCCCATTTCTTGCCTTTTCTTTCTTCTCTGCAAACCCCGTCTCTAGTCGCAAGCCAGGGGGAGCCCAAAGGAGTAGCCCCTTTGCAGCCTTGTGTGCTGGGGCTGCCCCTGAAGAGCTTGGGGGGCCTGCACGGTCCTCAGGCCGCCGTCCGTCTGGAGCTTTGAATCGGGCCGGGCGTTCCATTTGTCCTGTCTGGGTCACCCGGATGTCGCCCTTGATCTCTCTGGAAGCTCAGATTTCCAGCCTGGAAACGGAAGAAATAATATTTACCTTGCAGGGCTCTGGAGATTACAGTGCAAACAAAGGTCTTGCTTCATAGCTGAGACAGGGAGACCTCAGGGACCTGTGGGAGGCCTTACTGTCAGCTACGAAAGTGGGGACCCTTCCTTTCAGCTGCAAAAGGATAGCCAGGGGAGGCTTCGGGTGCTGACTGGGAGCCCCGGGGGCTGTGGCTGTGGTGCGGGGACCCAGCTGGGGCATGGCCTCCAGCCTTCTGAGCCGGCCCTGGCCCCCCCGCACCTGGGGAATGTCCCAGGTTCTGGGCAGGCTTCCTCCTGCAGCTCAGCTGAGGGTTCTGGGGAGGGTGGGGGGGGGTGGCTGTGTGTGGCTACAGGCTTTGGGAGTCCAAAGGCTGGCTTGCAAGCTGAATACCGAGACACACAGTTCCCTTAGATGGGCTCCCAAGGTCGCTGCAGAAGGCTTTGAAGGGATGGGGAGGGTGGGTGGGGAGAGCCGGACTGATAGGACGGTGGGGAGGGCGCTTGCCTTTGCACATGGCCAACCTGGATTCAATCCCAGCATCCCATTTGGTTCCCGCACCCTGCCAGGAGGGATCCCTGAGCACAGTCAGGTGTTTCAGCATCAATGCATGTGACCCAAAAGCACTCCCGTTGTTTATCGATTTGCTCGAGTGGGCACCAGTAACGTGTCCATTGTGAGACTTGTTGTTACTGTTTTTGGCAGATCGGATACACCATGGGGACTTGCTAGGCTCTGCCGTGTGGGTGAGATACTCTCGGTAGTGTGCTGGGCTCTCCCCAAAACAAAGAAAATTTTAAGAATAAAGGAATGGGGAGGTGGGGGGCGGGGCGCACAGAGAGACAGGACAGCGCGTGGGGTGCTTGTCTTGCACGTGGCTGACCTGGGTTCAATCCCTGGCACCACATATGATCTCCCAAGCTCGCCAGGAGTTACTCCTGAGTGCAGAGTAGGAAGTCAACCTGGAGCACTGCTGGGTGTGGCTCTAAAATGGAAAACAAATATATATATATATTTTTGGGTCACACCTGGCGATGCACAGGGGTTCCTCCTGGCTCATGCACTCAGGAATTCCTCCTGGCGGTGCTCAGGGGACCATAGGGGATGCTGGGAATCGAACCCGGGTCGGCCGTGTGCAAGGCAAACGCCCTACCCGCTGTGCTATCTCTCCAGCCCCGAAAACAAATATTTTTTGAAAGAGAAGGAATAGAATTTCCATCCAGACCAGCGATACCGCTTCTTGATCTCTACCCCCTGAACACAAAATCATGGCTAAGGAAGGGTACACACATCCTATGTCCATCGCCACACTTAGCACAGCACCCCGCGACATAACACAAATGGTCTCCAAGCCCCACCTGAGCACCGCCGGGTGTGGGCCGCTCCCCCAGATTGAAAAGAAACATAGCACTGTAGCACTGTCCTCCCGTTGTTCACCGATGTGCTCGAGCGGGCCCAGTAATGTCTCCATTGTGAGACTTGTTACTGTATTTGGCATATTGAATACGTCACGGGGAGCTGGCCAGGCTCTCCAAGAGGGGCGGAGGAATCGAACCTGGGTTGGCTGGGTCGGCCACGTGCAAGGCAAACGCCCTACCCGTTGTGCTACGGCTCCAGCCCTAAAATAAACATAATGGAACAAAAAAGGGAGGGGTGCATACTGACAGGTGTCCGCTCTGAGGTACTCCCTGATGTGCTCGGTGTGCTATGCCTCAGTTTACCCACTGAAATATTAGCATTTGGAGGGGGCTGGTGGCACCCAGAAGTGGTCAGGGGACCAGGAGGAGATCAAACCTGGGCTCCCACACGCGGAGCCCGGGCTCCAGCCCTCTGAGCCCTCACCCCCAAGCTTTCCCCAAAGAGGATCCACTCTTGAGGCTGGAGTGATAGCACAGCAGGTGGGCGTTTGCCTTGCACGCGGCTGACCCGGGTTCGATTCCCGGCATCCCATATGGTCCCCCTGAGCACTGCCAGGAGTAATTCCTGAGTGCAGAGCCAGGAGTAACCCCTGTGCATTGCCGGGTGTAACTCAAAAAGCAAAAAAAAAAAAAAAAGATTCACTCTGCAGACAGCCCCGGAAATGGGGTTTCAAAATGGGGGCTCAGGGATGCTGCCCTATCTCTTGGGACCCTAGGAATAGCCCCCTCGGGGAGGCATAAGGCGCCCATGAAGCACGCCAGCGGCCCGGGTTCGACCCCCCAGCCTCCCCAGAGCTGCCAGGAGTGATGTGGGGGGCACAGAACCAGAAGCCACCCCGAAACATGTGTATCCCCCCACCTCCCTGCAAAAAACCCCCGAGAATCGAAAAGGGCTGTCGCCAGGGCTGAGGACGGCTTCTCCACAGCGGGAAGGGAGGCACCTGGCGGCCAGGAGGCTGCAGGTGCGGCTGTGCCTGGTCCGCCCCCCTCCCCTCCCGTCCCTCCTCCCCTCCCAGCTTTGTTCCGTGCTGATTATTGCTTGATTACTGTTTTCAGACAGATATAATTCCGGCATCTTCTATAATCTTGATCTTTTCATTGATACCAGATTTTTTATACAAAGATTTGTATATAAAATGATTATGTACCCAGCAGAATACATTCCCCAGCAATTAGATGTTTAAGATGCAGCGCCGAACACTCCTCATTTATTACTTTTGAAAGTGTTTTGTGATTTTTTTTTTTGGAGGGGGTTTGGTGGTGGTGGTGGTGGTGGTGGTGGGGGCGAATGTATTTACAAATGCAACAACAATTCTCATTTCGAGTTGCAAAACACGAAGCCGTTTTGAACCCAGACAGATGGCAGCTAAATGAAGTTTAATTAAAGAATGAGTGCTTAGAATCAAACCACTTTTAAAAAGTACAGTGCGCAGAGACGTGGGAGAGGTTTGCACCGGCAGCATCTGGGCGCCTCGCCGAGACCACACAGCCGCCACGGGCAGACGACGGGGACACAGATGCCCAGCCCTGTGACCCCCTGGGCGGGAGACACGCTGACCCTGACTGGGGGCTTTGGTGGGGTGGGCGTGGGCGTGAGGCTCTGCCACGCCAGCCCCCTCATTACACGGGGACCGTGAGGCTCACAGAGGCGCAGAGTGGCCCATTGAGCCCACACGCCCCACTGCCCCCCCACGGCCACCCCCTTTCCAGAAGTGGGGCGTAGGGGGGTGACCTGGAGAGCCACATGGGCTCAAGGCCCGAGAGGACAATTCCCAGGTGGCCCCCCCAGCTACTGCCCGGTGTGGTCGTGGGGCAGAATGAGGGCCGCAGGGGGCAGGTTGTGCCCAGTGCCCAGGGCTGGAGACACTGGACAGGTACAGATGGGGGCCGGCTGCAGCTGACCCTCACTGATTTCCTGAGCAGCTCCTGCCTTAAGGGCCGTGAAAGTGCAGAGGGCCCCGCTGCGATCAGAAGAGACAGAGCCCGGGGCAGACCCTAGGTGGGACTGCAGAGAGGGGGCAGTGTGCGGGTGGCTGCGTGAGGGGACAGTGGATGGGGGTTCCACCTGTGGCCTCTGGCTTCTTTGGCTTTCCAGGAAGCAGCATCGGCTGTTCTGACTGGCCCCGCAGCCCCGCAGGGCTGGCACTGGCGCCTACTCTGGCTCTGCATTGGGCCCACCAGAGTCCACGTCCTGAGCCCTGGGCTCCCCCTCTGCCCGCCGGCGGCCCAAGGCAGATGCTCCCCTGCCCCAGGGCTCTCCAAGCTCTCGCCCTCGTGACTCACAGCTGCCCCTGTCCAGCAGAACTTCCAAATGAGAGGGTCCACTGCCTGGACGCCGGTCCGCCCCGTCCCCAGCACCCCAGGGAGCTCTGTAAGGCCCGAGCCCCCGCCCTCTCCCCCACATCGAGCTCCCACTTGTCCCTGGGAGTGAACTGCGCCTTGAGGTGCTTCTGGGGCACCTTTGCCGTCGGGCTGGCCCCATTCCCAAAGCACTTGGAGGGGGGGCTGCGGGCGACGCCCCTCCTGTAACTGGCCTTTCTGCGCCCACCTGGGCCCGACACCCAGCAATGCGCAGGAGCTAAACCCAGACTTGGTGCCTGGGGGCCACTCCTGATGGTGCTGGGTCCCAGGGGTCTCTCTGAGCCCAGCGGTGACATACCGCTGGGGGACACGAGCAGGCCTGACGGGGTGGCCGTCGTTGCGTCTACTCTGTCAAGGCCCCTGGGCTGCCGCACGGGTCCTGGGACCCCAACGCCACAGAGCAGAGTCGAGGCGGATTTTTTTCTCTCTCTTTTTTTTTTTTTACTTATTTAAAAAGGCCTTGGTGGCAGGAATATAGTGTAAAAATCATTGGAAAAACTAAAAGGCATCGATACATATCCGCATATACACTTTGTACATAAATTACATTTCCTTTAGTCTTTCTGGGTGAGGTCGTGATGTGGCTGACGGTCAGTACTTCAGGGTCCCCGGCAGCTGCACGTGGAGGCCAGCACAGTCCACCATGTACATGGGCCACTGCTAGAGAGACGGGGGACAGACAGTCGGTTAGGGGGCCAGGGGCCAGGGAAGGACACTGCGACACCCAGCTCTGCTTCCCCAGGGGCTGCTGGGAAGGCCCAGAGAGGGACGGTGACTGCTTCAAGGACACACAGCGCACTGGGGCCCGGATCGGACCCTTCTCACCTGTGGCTGCCCCTCAAACTTGGCCTCCTTCTCCAAAGAACCCCCATTGGGCTCAAAGTTTTGTTTGGTTTTTGGGTCACACCTGACGACGCTCAGGGGTTATTCCTGGCTCTGCACTCCGGAATTACTCCTGGCGGTGCTCGGGGGACCGTAGGGGACACGCTGGGGATTGTGTGCAGGGCAAGCACCCTCGCCACTGCGCTTTCGCTCCGGCCCCTCAGAAATAAAGACATGTTCAAAGGAGGGGGCCCAGAGCCAATAGTCCAGCGGAGAGGGGGCTTGCCTTGCATACGGTTGATCCGGGTTCGACTCCCAGCATCCTACAGGTTCCCCCTGAGCCCCGCCAGGAGTGATCCCTGAGCACAGAGCCAGGAGTCAGCCCTGAGCATCATCAGGAACGGCCCCCAAACCATGCCAAAAAGAAAAAAAAAGATAAGGAAACCTGAAAATGGGGCTTGGGAAATATAAAACGGTGGGTGCCCCTGCCTAGCCCACAGGGGCCCCGAGAGTGACCCCCGACACCTCAGTCCCTCCCACGCCCTGGCGCATGGAACTGCCTGTCGAGGCGGCGGAACTTGGCTCTAGGCAACAGGTGCAGGCCCCCCGAAAAACCCTCCATTCAGTGTTTTTTTTTTGTTTGATTTTTTGCAGTGCTGGGGGTCGAACCCAGGGCCTCACATGTGCCAAGCCTCCTGTGTTCTTGCACCGAAAAATACCTCAGGTCTCCTAAAATCCTTCTCCAGCGTGTCCCAGTGACCTCCCCCATCAGACTTGGAATTTCAAACTAGGATTTGGGCAGGTTGTGGGGAGGAGGGCACAGCCCCAAGGCAGTGCTGAGGGGGGCTGGCAGTGCCGGGAATTGAACCTGGGGGTCCTGCACGTAGAGTCTGTGCCGAGCCTTTTCGGCATCTCACAACCCCCCCGCCTCAAAGCAAGTAGAAGGCAGAGAACACTCAGGTGTGTCTGAGGGAGGTGGCCTTCCTGGAGGAGGCAGCCCAGCCCAAGGGGCCAAGGAGTAGAGCTTTCCAGGTGGCTTCTCCACCCCAGTAGGCCTCGGAGTCCCATCTGCACTGGTCTCAGAGTCATCCGTCTACACTGCAGATCACTCACACGCCTCTGGGGGCTGTCAGGGGCCTGGTGCCCATCAGCTCTGGGACAGCCCAGGGCAGAGTGGGTCTCCCCTTTCCGGGGCCTCGCTGGGCCCTTGGCTGCATGGGGTCGTGACTTCTTGCCCATGACCCCGGGTGGGCCAGGCGGGGTGTATCTGCAAGCCCTGCGTGTCCCATTACCCCAAAATCAAGCCCCCAAGGGAACGGCCACGAGGGGCACGCGAGGGGCTCGGGCCGTGGGGGAGGGTCCCACGGCGGCAGCATTACCACAAGTGAGAGCTGGTTGGCGGAGGCCACGGACTCTGGGTTGGAGGATGAGGATGAGGACGAGGAGGAGGAGGAGACGGAGTTCCCTTCGGAGGCCCGCTTCCGCTTGCGTTTGGGGACGCTGCTGTCTTTGGCTGGGGAGGAAGAGGCACCTGAGGCCCCGCCCGCACCCCCCGGGCCCCAAGTCAGCCTTTGCTTGTTGGGGGGTGCAGAAAACACCCCCCTTGGCCTATGGGTGCGCAGTCAGGCATCTGCCTCCCTTAGCCCCAGGCCCCCGGCTGCTCCCCGCCAAAGTCCTGCCGAGTGGGCTCAGCACAGCCCAGGGGACCCTCAGCCTCCCTAGGGTCCCCCTTGGGAGACCCACACAGTGGGCCTTCGGGAACATTCTCTATTTCAGTTTTTTTCTTTCTTTTTGGGTCACACCCAGCGATGCTCAGGGGTTACTCCTGGTTCTGCACTCAGAAATTACTCCTGGAGGTGTTCGGGGGGAGCATATGGGATGCTGGGAATCGAACCCGGGTCAGCCACGTGCAAGGCAAACACCCTCCCCGCTGTGCTATTGCTCCAGCCCCTCTCTCTGTCAGTTTAAACCTGCAGGGGTGTCGGGGGGCCTGCCCCTCAGGACATACTCAGAAATCCAGTTCGCCCCATGCTACCCCTCACCCCGAGCGCCAGCCAGAGCCCCGGGACCTTCCTGACGTCCCCGACCGGCCCACAGGCCTCTGGGGACTCTGGGTCTGCAAATGGGGCTCTGGGCGCTGCCCCAGGGAGGCCCTGGGGGCAGGGGGGACTGCCCCAGCCACCCGAACCCGATCTGCCTGTGGACTCCAGGTCCCGGGAAGGAGAGACCCACCTGGTACCTTGGCATCGCTGCAGATTTCTGCAAAGGGCCTGGAAAGGAAAGCATCGAGGACCGTTAGCAACCGAGGCTCCAAGAGGGGCAGCGACGCCTGGAGGCAGGGGACAGCAATCATTGACCATCAGCCAGGTCAGACCCAGGTGAAGACAATGGGCATCACCAGCCTCGGTGAATGCCTGCAGCAGCCCCGCCAGCCCGGCACGGACCTCCGGGGTTCATGCTCCAGGGAGCAAAGGCGCTGCCCCAGCCCAGGGGCCAGAAACCGACCCTGGCGTTGAGAGGATCCTCCCAGGACGGGAGATGCATGCTGAGAGTAGACTATAGACCGAACATGATTGCCACCCACTGCCTCTTTTGCAAACCACAACACCCAATAAGAGAGAGAGAGAACAAAAGGGAATGCCCTGCCACAGAGGCAGGGTGGGATGTGGGGATGAGGGGAGTGGGAGGGATGCTGGGATTGGTGGGGGTGGAGAATGGGCACTGGTGGAGGGATGGGTACTTGATCACTGTATAACTGAAACCCAAGCACAAAAATGTGTAAGTCTACAACTGTACCTCATGGTGTCTCACTAATAAAAAAAAAAAAAAAACAACCCTGGCATGTGCAGGCCAGGTTGGGTTTGCATCCAACTCAGATACTCTGTTTTGTCGGTCACACTCCCTGTGGCATGAAGTGGCCCCCACAAAGGGTGACAGGGACTCCAGGTGCGTCCGTCCAGGGCCATTGTGGCTGAAGTGGGGGCAGTGGGCCCAGCAGCAGCACAGAGAGAAGGGTGCTGGCCTTGCACGCGGCCGACTCGGGTTCGAGCCCTGGCACCCCATACGGTCCCCCGAGTCCGCTAGGAGCAACCCCTGAGTGCAGAGCCAGGAGTCAGCCCTGAGCACTACCGGGTATCACCCCAAAACAAATCAAAACACATTTTAGAAGTTAGGGCGGGCATTGATGTACCAAGAGTAGCACACCACACCTGATGGGGTGTCAGGTAGAAGGTAACCAAATCTCGCTTAAAAATATACACATAAATAAAATTTTATATATATATATATATACACACATTTATATAAGTTTCTTTGTTTTGGGGTCACACCCAGTGATGCTCAGGAATTACTCGTGGCGGTGCTGGGGGACCATATGGGATGCTGGGAATCGAACCTGGGTCAGCCGCATACAAGGCAGACGACCCACCTGCTGTACTATCTCTCCAGCCCCTGGGATTATTTTTAGTGAATTATTAATAACAAGCAATACAAAATAAAATATTAGACCCTGCGAGTTCGATTCCTCCGCCCCTCTCGGAGAGCCTGGAAAGCTACCGAGAGTATCTCGCCTGCACGGCAAAGCCTGGCAAGCTACCCGTGATGGATTCGATATGCCAAACACAGTAACAAGTCTCACAATGTTACTGGGCCCACTCGAGCAAATCGATGAACAACGGGAGGGCAGTGACAGTGACAGCCTTGGGGCAGGTTTTGGGGGTCAGGGTGCAAAATTTCAAAATATGGTGGTGCTAATGGTTGTGGGATCAGTGCTAGAATATCGAATGCAATAAGTTACTGTGAACAACTTTGTAAAAATAAAATAAAATAGTTGGGGCACAGGGCTCGGGAGGTGGGGGCAATCAGACCAGTGCTCCAACCTCTCAGCTGTGTCTTCTAAAAATGCTGATCTAAAAGCAGGGGCAGGGGGCCGGAGTGATAGCACAGCGGGTAGGGTTCGATCCCCGGCATCCCCTATGGTCCCGCAAGCACTGCCAGGAGTGATTCCTGAGTGCAGAGCCAGGAGTGACCCCTGAGCATCACTGGGTGTGACCCAAAAAGCAAAAGCAAAAAAAAAAAAGAAAGAAAAAGATAAATAATAAAAGCATGTGGCGAGAAGGTGGAAAGTTCCCGTCTCTGGGGCTTCCCTTGGGGAAACAGACTGTGGGAGCGGGGCCTATTCTGACGGCCTCCTGCATTTTCCGGGGGGGGCAGAAAATGAGAGAGGAGAGGGAGGAGCTCTGCTCTGGGTTCAAGACCCTTTAAAAACAGTGGAACGTGAGCAACTGTCACATTAACTTTCTACACCGCGTGTGGGGTTGGAAAAAAAAAAAAACAGGCCTGGTGTGTGTGAGTGGATGCGTGTCTCTGCGTGTATATGTGTATGCCTGAGTATGCGTGTGTATACTCACACTGTGTGTTTGTACATGTATGTCTGTATGTATGTGTCTGTGCATGTATGTGAGTGTGTCTGTATGTGAGTATGTCTGTGTTTGTGTGTCTGTATGAGTGTATATGAGAGGATATTTGGGGCTGGGGGGGGTACAGCGCTCCCCCCGGGTGACCAGCAGAGTGATGGGGTATCTCTTTGGGGGGGGAATGGGATATCTTTTCTGCCCAGAGTATTTTTCGCACTTCCCCTGCGTGCCATGTGGATCTTTTTAACTTATTTTCTTGTTGGGTCACACCCGGCGATGAACAGGGGTTACTCCTGGCTCTGTACTCAGGAATCACTCCTGGCGGTGCTCAGGGGACCATATGGGATGCTGGGAATCGAACCCGGGTCGGCTGCTTGCAAGGCAAACGCCCTACCCGCTGTGCTATCGCTCCAGCCCCATGTGGATTGTTTTTAAATCCTGGAAGAGTGGAGGGGGGGCAGGGAGCGCTCGGCCTGGCTATGGGGGAGGTCTTGGGGGTGGATGGTGGAGGGGACAGACTTAGATGAGACCGGGGTGGAGGCATGGAGTATCCTGACAATAATCAAGCTACTGTATTTAGAACTAGAGCCGAGGCTGTGGTGGCTGACGGCGGAGATCGCCGCCGGAGGGGAATGTGGGAGTTCCGCTATTTCCTCCGCATTGTATTTATTTTTAGCTGTATTATTGTTATTCGGTGTATTTGGGTCATACCCAGTGGGGCTCAGGGATGGACCCGGTGGGCCATGTGCGAGGCAGATGCACTACCCACTGTGCTATCTTTCTGGTCACCCCCCCGATACTTTCAATAGGATCAAGAGGGACCAGGAAGAGGGGTCAGAGGCACCTACCCCAGCTCAGGCCCCAGCACGACCTGGTCCCATGAGCACAGCCAGGGCGGCCCTGCTGGGCCCAAGGACTAAGGTGTCTGGTGGGCTGAGAAGTGCTGGCAAGGGCTTCCGGGCCCCTCCGTAAAGCTGGAGCTCCCATAAATAATAAAAATGAAACAGGAAAAGATTTATGGTGTGGCCAGGTAAAGTTGTCACTGTCACTGTCCTCCCGTTCATTGATTTGCTCGAGCGGGCCCAGTAACATTGTGAAACTTGTTACTGTGTTTGCCATATCGAATACGTCACGGGAGCTTACCAGGCTTTGCCACGCAGGCGAGATACTCTCGGTAGCTTGCCGGGCTCTCCGAGAGGGGCGGAGGAATCGAACTCGGGTCGGCCATGTCGGCTGCGTACAAGACAAACACCCTACACACTGTGCTATCGCTCCAGCCCAAGGTAAAGTTGAATGTATTAAAATAAACAGGTGTTTGCCTTGCATGCAGCAGATCTGGGTTTGATCCCTGGACGGGTGCTTGCCAGGAGTGACCCCCCTCAGACCTCCTCTAAGCACAGAGCCAGGAGTAATTCCTAGCAACACTGGGTGTAGCCCCAAAACAAAACAATCCGGGAGCTGGCCAGAGAGCTGGAGCACAGCGTCTGCAGGAGGGGCCCTGGTCTGATCCCTCGAGCCACACAGTCCCCTAGGAACTGCTGGGTGGGCCCCAGCCTCCCCCGCCACCACACACATAGTGAAGGAAGACGGAGCTGGCAGTCGGGTCACAAGTACTACAAATTCCCCCAAATGTGCTGGTGTCCGGTGACAAGGGATGAGGGGGCCCAGGTGGGGGTCAGACCTCTGCCCCACCCAGCACAGCGGGGCCATGAAAGGCTCCATGGAGGCCCTGAGAACCACAGGTGGGGTCTGTCCAGCCCCTCCCAACCCCGCCCCCAGGGTAGCCTCCTCACACAGGACTGCCGGGTCACCCACCCCTACGGGTGTGGCCAGGTGTGGGGGTGCAAGTGGCTTTGTGTACATACTGTGACACTGTATGTGACACTCTGCTGTACCTGACACTGTGCACACGGGACACCGTGTGCCAGTGTGACACCATGCCTGTGTGCATGAGACGCAGTGTGTGACCATGCATAATACTGGGTGACACTGTGACAGTGGGTGACACTGAGGCACCGTGTGTGACAGGGGGTGGCACTCTGACCCCGCGAGTAACCCCGTCCTCACTGGAGCTGGTTGACGACGACCATCCGCACGTGCTCCCGGGCCTTCAGGATCTTCTCCAGCCGGTGGATGTCGTACGTGTTGGGGTTCCGGAAGGGGATGTCGTCAGGCAGGCCCGTGACCTCCACGGCGTCGGGGCTGTCCCGGATGAGTTTGTAGGGGACCAGCACGGGCCGGTTCAGGCCCAGGGCCTCACCTGAGGGACAGAGGTCAGGGTGAAGGGCAGGCGTGAGGAGGACGGGGCTCGGGGCCGGAGCTCTCGGCTGTTGAGGTCAGCCCTGGCCAGGACAAGGGTGCCCCGGGGGGAGCTCGGGCTTGTACCCAGCACTGAGCACCGGGCCCGGAGCAGCACTGAGCACTGCCGGGTGTGGCCCCAAGCCACACGCACGGTTGGGGACCAAAATGGGATGAGAAACCTGATACAGGCTAGGACGCAGCTCGGCAGCAGAGCGTGCCTGGGTCCGAGGCCCCGCAGGCCTGGTCCCCTGAGAACTGCTGGATTGCCCCCCCGCATACAGTTGGGGTACCTGGGGTGGCAAGCAAATGCAGCCTTGCACGCCTGTGCCCATTCTGGACGTATGGTCCTTCCCCAGAGCAGGAAGGGTGAGGGGACATCTCGGGTTGACCTCAGGCATTTATTTGGGGGTTCCTGGGAAGCGTGTGGGGCTGGGTGTTTCGACGCTTGGGTCTCTGGCACTGAGGGCCAACAGGGTCCCCCTGGCGGAGTTTGGGGTGCGCCTGGGGTTTGGGCTACGTGAAGAGGCAGATGTTCCGGCCCTAGCCACCACCCCCTGGCTCTGCTCTGTTCCTAGGGGCAGGGATGCCAGGTGGGGTGGGGACGGAGGGAGACGGCAGAAGGACCCTGGCCTCAGAAGCCGGGTCTCTGACGGGTCACGTCGGGGGGCCACACGCAGAGGGGGTCATTCCGCCACTCTCTCCGCTTTCTGGTGTGTTTTCGGGCCACAGCCGGCGACGCTCAGGGCTTACTCCTGGTTCTGGGTTCAGGGACCACTGGCGGTGAGCTTGGGGGCCCCCACGGGGTGCTGGAGACTGAGCCCCCAGGTCAGCCACGCGCAAGGCAAGCGCCTGCCTGCTGGGCTGTCACACCAGCCGCTCAGTTTCTGGGTAGCTTCAACTGACCCCAGAACTAAAAAGTGGAAAAGACACACCACAAAGTCCAGCTGGGTCCCTTCCTGCGACTGCCAAAAAGCCCCTTCAAGTCAAGTCGCGGCCTGTCCTCCGCTCCCACCATGCGTCCCCCTGACGAGGGGCTCCTCTCACTTCTGTCCCCTCCTGACCTTCTAGTCTCAGCTGGAATGTTCCTCTTCGGAGGGGTTTCCCTGTTCAGATGCCCCATCCTGCTGGCAACACTGTGTGCGTGTGTGTGTATGTGAGGATGTGTATGTGTATATGTGTGAGTACGTGTGTATATGTGTATGTGTATATGTATATGAGTGAGTATGTTTGTGTGTGTGTATATGCGTATGTGTGTGTTTATGTGGGAATGTGTGTATCTGAGCATGTGAGTATGTGTGTGTATGTGTGTGTGACTATGTGTGTGTGTATCTGAGTATGTATATGAGTATGTATGTGTACGTATTTATGTGTATGTGTATATGTGTATATGCGTGTATGTGCATGTGTCTATGTGGATAAGTGTATGTAGTATGTGGATATGTGTATGTAGTATGTATGTGTATATGTGAGTATGTGTATGCATGTGTGTGTTTATGTGTATGTGCGTGCTTATGTGTATGTGTTTGTGTGTTTATGTGTGGGTATATGTGTATGTGTATATGTGCATGTGTGTGTATATGTGTGTGTGGTGCTGGGGATCAAACCCAGGGCTCGGTGCCGTGAGACGTGTGCTCTATCTCCCTTTATCACTCTCTGAGTGCTTCCTGTCTATGCTCTATTCCTCTCCTCCATCCACCGGCTATCTGTTCATTTCCCATCCATCCATCACATCCATCACTTGTTCACCATTCATTCATTCATCCAGATCCACCCAGCACCATTCATTCATTCGTCCACCACCTATTATCCATCCACCCGCTACCCATTTCATCTACCACCCATCACCCACCACTCACTTACTTAATCATATCCATTATCCACCCATCCATCCATCCATCCATCCATCCACCCACCCTCTCCCCACCCCCCCCAGCCACCCAGCCATCCATCTATCCACCATCTTCTTTACTACAGCACAAACCTACCCAACTCCGGTCTGGGGCAATGGCTCAAACGGCTGGACTGCGTGTCTGGTACGCACTAGGCCCGAGTCCCCTCCCTGGCACTGCCCGGTTCCCTGGTGTCCCTCACAGCTGGGCTGGTCCCTTCACAGTGCAGGGGAGGTACGTCCCCCTGCCCCCCAAAACCTGAAACCCCTCCCCGGTACCAATACAAGTCACAAGACCCGAGGCTGGCATAGGACACGTGTCAGCTGTGACTGCATCACGATGGTCCTGTCCAGGGTCTGCCTGGCACCTTGGTCACCTTCTGTGCCAGCCCGGCTCCCTGCCCTGCACCTGCCCCCATCTGCACACACCCCAACGGGGGGGCTGGCCTCCCATCGGGGGTCCTGGGCATTGCCACCAGGCCCTGACTGGCTGGGCGCCGAGCACTGACCGTATTTCTCGTTGAAGAGCTCCTTCACCTGCTCTCGGAGAATCACCTTCTCCCCCAGCCTGTTGGCGTCGTCTTCATCTGCGGGGCAAGACAGCTGACCGTGAGGGTGGCACCAGCCCAGTCTGGACCGTCCCCGCTCCCCGCGGCTGCCCCCGTCCCTCCCCACCCCCCAGAGCCTGCATCTGGCCGTGGGTATCTGGATGTCCACCTGTCCCATCCACATGTCCACTCACTATTGCTCCCACTTACCTTCTGTTTCGTTATCTGTCCACCTACTGACCATTTAGCTACCTGTCCAACTGTTCATTCTCTTACCACTGCCTCCGTTCATTTATCTGCCTACCCACCTGCCTATCCGCTCACGGCGTGGCTACTTGTCTGTCCACCCACTCACTGTCTACCCACGAGTGCGTCCATTCACCTCCTGTCTGTCCGTCCATCAATCCCTCCCTCCCTCCCGGTTCCCCCGTTTCACGGCCAGGCCAGGCAGAGCCCCTGAGACTCACGGCCCTGGGGCTGCCTTGTCGCTGCCCCCACTCGGAAGTACGAGCAGAAATGCCTACAAGGACATACCCAGAGCAGTATTCAGGGCACGTACCTCTGCCTGGGCCAATTTGGGGGGGCCTGAGGGCAGGGCCCTTTCACCAGATCATCCCAAACTTTAAAAAAAAAATGCAACTTCTGGGCTGGAGTGATAGTACAGCAGGTAGGACATTTGCCTTGTACACGGTCAACCTGGGTTCAATTCCAGCATCCCATATGGTCCCCCTGAGCATCACCAGGAGAAATTCCTGAGTGCAGAATTAGGAGTAACCCCTGAACATCGCTGGGTGTGACCCAAAAAGCAAAAAAAAAAAAAAAAAAAAAAAAGACAACTTCTGGGGCAGGAGCGACAGTACGGTGGGTGGGGAGGGCATTTGCCCTGCATGAGTGGCCGACCTGGGTTTGATCCCCGGCGTCCCATAGGATCCCAAGGACCCACCAGGAGTGATCCCTGAGCACAGAACCAGGAGTGTGCCCTGAGCCACTGGGTGTGGCCCAACAAACAAAACACTAACTCCCGTCCTAGAAGTCAAATGCAGCCCATGTGCTGGGTGCGCGAGTGGAGTGGGGGGTCGCGGGCACTGAGGGGAGATGCCCAAACAGGGTGCAGGGTCAGGCCTCAGCGATGGGGCTTATGAAGGAAGAGGGTCGGGGGCAGGCTCCAGAGGACAAACGGTCTGACCCCGTCCCGTGCGTGCATGTGCCTGGGTGCGGTGGGAGAGGCAGTGGGCAGTGATCACCCAGCATGACCAGGAACGCCGCCCCCACCTTTACTGTCCTGCACCCCGACTCTGCAGACCTATGCCGGGGACTCGTGGAGCCTCCCCGCACCCAGGCTGCCCACCGACCCACAAACACTCCGGAAGTTCTGCATCTGGCACAGCCAGTGATGGCTCAGGTGTGTGCAGGCGAGTGTGTGTGTGTGTGTGTGTGTGTGTGTGTGTGTGTGTGTGTGTGCACCCGTGAGGTCGCACTCTTGCCGTACCTGTGCGAGCAGCTGTGTCTGGAAGTGGGGGTGTGCCCCGTGCCCTCACACAGCTTGGGCGGGACTTGTGGGAGCCTGCCGCGGCCGGCTGATGCATAGGGATGAGTCTGAGCCTTGATTACTCCGAGGGGCCAGGACACACACTCCCCAGGGGCAACGTGTCCAGAGAGCAGGCCACTGGCGCGGGTTCTGAAATCACTCGGGGCCCCATCTTCTTTTCTTTCAAGTTTTGGCCCATACCAGGTGTTGAGAGGGCCACATGGCCCTGGGCATCAAATCTGTGTCTCTGACATGTAAACCTGTGCTCAGGGCTCCATGACCCCCTGCTGCAGCCCCCCCTAAGGCAGTGGGTCCTCCCCTCCGCTCCCTGGGGTGCCCACACTCACATATGTCACTGCCCTCCCATTGTTCATCATTTTGCTCGAGTGGGCCCAGTAACATTGTGAGACTTATTACTGTGTTTGGCATATCGAATGCGTCATGGGGAGCCTGCCAGGCTTTGCTGTGCGGGCGAGATACTCTCGGTAGCTTGCCAGGCTCTCCGAGAGGGGCGGAGGAATCGAACTTGGGTCAGCCGTGTTGGCTGCGTGCAAGGCAAACGCCCTACTGCTGTGCTATCTCTCCAGCCCACACTCACATCTAACTTTTCTGTTTCATGGTGGGGGAGCACAGGCCACGGGAGGTGGTCCCCAGGGACAGAAGCCAGGCCCTCACATGCCAAGTCCTGCCCACCTTCTGAGCCACCCCCACTCTTTCCCCATGCATGGGGGGGGGGGAACAGCCCTCCTCAAGGCCTGAAGGGACCCTAAACCCCACCACCTGCTCAGCCCCAGCTGGAAACCACACCTACGTGGGCCCAAAGGGTCTGGGGGCAGTGTCCTGTGACCCCTTCCTGATCCCTCCAGATGAAGGCCTGGAGGGCCCCCGCTGGAGAAATGAGTCAGGGAAAGCTTTCTTTCTTTTTTTTTTCTTTCTTTTTGGGTGACACCTGGAGATGCTCAGGGATTACTCCTGGCTCTGCACTCAGGAATTACTCCTGGCAGTGCTCAGGCGACCATATGGGAAGCTGGGAATCGAACCCGGGTCGGCCGCGTGCAAGGCAAACGCCCTACCTGCTGTGCTATCGCTCCAGACCCAGGAAAGCTTTCTGAGATGTTGCAGAACCACCTGAAGTTCCCCCCTCCACTCCCCTCCCGGGGCCTGGGGGGGCCCCATCTAACGCCTGTGTAGTATCAAGGCGGGGCATGGGGCCATCCCTGCCAGGCAGGGCCAGGCCAGCAGGGCCAGCCGGGGGCCGTGGGGGGGGGCAGCTCTGGGCAGGAAAAGGAGGGGGCCCCTCCCTTGTCTCGTCTCCCGGTGCCCCCAGAGTCTTCTGGTCGGGAAGAAAGGCGGCAGCGGGCCAAGCTGGGGGCCCAGCCCCGCCCTGGCAGCCGCAGGGAGGGTGGGGGGGGCGGCAGGAGCCCCATTCCCAGGAAGCTGTGCAGAGATAATTAAGTGGAGAAGCGTGTGGCTGGCGGGAAGGCAGATATCTTTAGCAACGCCAGGGAAGGTTTTATTTTGAGCTCAAGTGCGGGAGAGCTGGTGGGGGAGGGGCGCTGGGTGTGGGTGGGGGGTCCTGGCGGGCTTCCCAGTGCCCTGGGGCCCAGTCAGTTCACTGGTGGCAGGTGGCAGACCGGCTCTGCACCCCCACCCCCACTTCCTATTGCTCCCGCTGACAAAGGGCCGCCCCCAGAAGGCAGAGACCCCCGCCGGGCCGGTCAGGGGTCAGTTCTCTTGTGCAAGGGTCATGCAACAACACACTTGCGGGCGCACGTGTGTGTGTGTGTGGGGGGGAGGGGCACTCACTACCCGAAGCTGGAGCCCACCTAGGGCTGAGGGCTTGGTGCGGGGGCACAGGGGCTCCTTTGGCCAGGGGCTTCCCAGCCCTCCAGGACCCCACGCCTGGCCACTCTCCTGCAGGAGGCAAGGCGAGGTCCACGCGGACATGGGAAGAGGGCAGCTACGTTCCCGGGAGCCCCCAAGGGAGCTGGGGCCCAGGGCCCGGAGCCAGCTAGTTCCAGAACTGGGAAACTCAGTGCGGGCGGCGAGGGAAGGAAGGTGGGTGCCCTCTCCTCCCCCCACCCCCCTCCTCGGGCTCCACTCTGCAGTTCTAAAGGGTGGGGGTCCTGCCCCCTTCCCCGTCAGGCCCACCCCTATGGCAAAGGGGCTGCTCAGACAGCCCAAGTGACAGGCCGTTCACTCCTGATCTTCTCAGACTTATTAAAAAAAAAAAAAAGAAAGAAAATGAAAACTCCACTGCTATTTGAGAACTGTTCTAGAATGTTCTGCATTTCCTTGCTCCCGCTGGAGCTGCCCCCAAAGCCAGCTCTCCTCTCCCCTGAGGTTTTGACCAGCTCCTGACTCAGCGCTTCTGTCCGTGTGAATTCCTCCTCCTCCGCCTCTTCCTGCCTCCAGAGGCCCTCAAGGTCCCCTGGAGGTCGTGGGGTCCCCAGGAGCCGGCCCGGGAGGGGGCCCCACCCTCCCCCTCCCGGAATCTCCTGCTCTCACCCAACTTCTGGGTTCAGGCTCCCTCGACTCTCCTGCTACCTGCCCTGTCCTGCATGCGCGGGTGTGTGTGCACGAGCACACGCGTGTGCAAAAGTGAGGTTGCCATGACACCCATAGCCCATGCGAATCCCAGCCCTGGTACCCAGACAGGCTGGAATGACCGGCCCTAGCCTGAGTCTCACAGGTCTGGCCTCATTCTGACGACCCACAAAGGTGTACCCAGCCCCTACAGCTCCCTCTGTCCGCCGGGGCTGTCTGCTTCCGGGGTCAGGGGCCATTCTCTGAAACCTAGCCCGCTTCCTCTAGCACCAAGGGGCAGAGGGCCCGGCTGGTGCCCGGGGCCCAGACTGTGCATTCATGCCTCCCCAACTCCTCCCTTGCCCCCAGACCTGTGGTCATCATCCACAGTGCACCCCACCTTTCACTCTCCCCAGAGAACCCCACACCTCACCGCCCGCCTCGTGCCTAAGGTCACTTAGTGGGGACCCCGTGCCCACACCTCACCCTCCTTTTTGGTTTTAGGGCCACACCCAGCAGTGCTCAGGGCTCACTCCTGGTGCTGTTCAGGGCACTGAACGGGGGTGCTGGGGGCCCAACCCCAGTTGGCAGTGCACAAGGCAGACACCCTCCCCAGGTGCCATCTCTCTGGCCCCCCCAGCCTCCCTGCTCACGGTGCATGGCCAGAACCCCAGTCTCACCTACGCAGGTACTGAGCACATGCAAGTACTCTAGCGCCGAGTCCTCCCACCCTGTGCCAGGGCCTCTCTCGGGCTGTGCTCGCCCTTAAGGCCCCAGCAGGATCCCCGAGAGTGTGCTTCTGATTTATCTGCTGCCGACCAGCATGAAAGCCCAAAGGAGATGTGAGTTTGATCCAGTTTGTATCCCTGGGTCTTGCCTGGTACAGATCTGGCACTCAGCTAGTTAATGCTGGCTGGAGAAGCGGGGACTCGGTGTCCCCAGGGGAAATGTGACAGTCTCAAGGCCAAGAGGGAGAAGACAGATGCAGCACTGGGCCAGAAGGGGGCAGCAGAGAGCCACCCACGGTGGAAGGTGGCGGGGGGGGGGGGGGGGGGGGGGGGTGTGGTGCGGGGAAGGTTACGCTGGGGTTCTGGAAGAAGAGCAAACCCCAGGTTCCAAGTCAAGTCCCTCTTTGCGCATGCTGTGTGACTCCAGGCAGGCTCCTGAACCTCTCTGTGCCCACTTGTTCCTGTGAGGCTGATGCTGGCGGGCCAGGGGTCAGAGTTCCATAGCTGTGGGGCCACCTAGTGAGGCCTGGTCAGTGCACATTGCCAGTCGACTGACCAACTGTTTGGGGGACATACTTGGCAGTGCTCGGGGGCACTGCAGTGCTGGGGATCGGGGCGCTGTGCCTCTGCCCTGGCCTGGCCCAAGGGACCATTTGACAGAACAGTCGTGACCAGGGCTGCTCTGTGGTGGACCTGCTGTCCCCATGTCCCCTCCACTCCCTGACCCCCGGGGCTCTCCCCCAGGGCTGTAGTCCCATCCCGCAGGGCCCGACGCCTTTTCAACTACAACCGGGGATCTGGACACAAGTGCCCAAGCAGATGGGGACATCTTGTGGATTTTTTTTTTTTAGGGGCTAGTTGGGCCACACCTGGTGGTGCTCAGAGACCTTCTAGCTGCGCATGCACAGATCACTCCTGGCGCTCCTGTGGGTGCAGGGATCCAGCCCAGGCCGGACGTGTGCACCGCGAGCATCCTCAGCCCCAAACCAGAGGGGTTTTGTAAGCACCGCGCTTTTGTTTTTTGGACCACACCCGGCGATACTCAGGGGTTACTCCTGGCTGTGCACTCCAAAAGTCCTCCTGGCAGTGCCTGGGGGACCATCCAGGGTGCGGGGGATGCTGGGGACTGAACCGGGGTCGACCGTGTGCAAGGCAAAGGCCCTCCCTGCTGCGCTGCTTTGGGCCAGATTTTTTTTATCTTTTCTTTTTGCGGTCACACCCGAGACCCCCCCCTCCCTTGCTGGCCGCTGGCCCAGGGTCCCCTTTCACTCAGTAAACTGGGGCCCCCACGGCACGAGGCGGCCCCCCAGCAGCCCCCCAGCCAGCACCTCTTACCAGGCTTGGGGATGAGTCCCTGGAAAGGTCTGGAAAGAGAAGCAGAGACAGAGGGGTTAGGGGGCGGGATGGAGGAGTTGGGCCGGGCGCAGCCCAGCACAACCTGCATCTGGACAGGACGGAGCTGTGGGCTGGGGCGGGGGGACACGGTGGCCCTGGGAACCTGGGGCGGGTGCCCTGCGTCCGGCTGGCCCTGCCCCACGCCACCTACCTGGTCACGGTGAACTTGATCTTGTCCGCCACGGCCAGGATCCGCTCGAGGTTCTGGGAGCCGAAGGTGCAGGGTTTCCGGAAGGGGATGCCAGGGGGCAGCCCCTCGATGAGCACCGAGCCGGGGTTGCTCTTGATCCGCTTGTAGGGCACCTGCACCGGGTACTTAATGCCCAGTGCCTCGCCTGCGGGTGGACCGGAAGGGCAGAACGGCAGGTGAGCAGCAGGGTGGGGGACACAGCACGGCTGCCTCTCCCTTGGCGGACCTGCCCGAGGCTCTCAGATGGGGTGGGGGTGCTGCGGGGGGGGGACCCGCCACCCCACTGCTGCTCTCGGGACAGGCTGGGGGCGCTGGCTCGGGAGCCTGGACGGAGGAGCAGGTCTGAACCCCACTTGCACCCAGAGGTACACACAGACACAGAGACAGAGACACACACACACACACACACAGACCACACCCACACAGAGACGGACAGACCACACACAGATACAGAGACACAGAGAGACACACAGACCACACACAGAAACATACACAGACACGCACACAGAGACACAGTCACATAGAGATGAACAGACACACACACAAACATAAATACACAGACACACACAGACACACTCACACAGACACTGAGACACAGAGACAGATACACAGACCATACACAGACACATACACAGAGACACACAGAGACCTAACAGACACATACACACAGACACACACACACAGACCACACCCAATTAGATACACATACAGACACACTCACAGATGAACAGACACACTCACAGAGACACACACACTGAGAAACAGACAGACACACATAGACCACACAGAAACACACTCAACGACACACAGAGCTAGACAGACAGACAGACAGACACACACACACACACACATACACACTAGCACAGAGCCCCCCAGCCTGCATCCTGGGCAGATCTGTGTCCCTCCCAACCACAGCGGCCAGCTCGGCTCCCAGGACACTCCTGGGCCTGCTGGGGCAGCATCTGCAGGACAGACTTCTGGGAACGCATCACCCCGACTCAGTGACACTGGCCCCAGCCTCGGTTTCTTTAAAGGAAAAACGAGAGCTGGGCTAAGCGGCAGCACAGTGGGGAGGACACCCGCCCGGCATGGCCGACTGGGGTTGGATCACGGGCACCCATGTGGTCCCCCGAGCACCCAGGGGTGATTCCCGAGTGCAGAGCCAGGAGTGACCACCGAGCACTACCGGGAGTGGCCCCCAAGCAGACAGACAGATGGACTGAGTTCTCGCGTGCGCTGTCCTTATGCGCCATGACCCTCAGGCCAGCCCGGCATACCCGAACTCTCCCGGCAGACTCTCCCCAGATGCAGGTGCTCCCGGTCCCCGGCCCTGCTGGGCCATGAACCGTCCTTTCTCGGTTCCCCCTGGGCGGGCTCCAGGCCTGCCATTCAAACCCGGGCTTGCTGGCCCCAGCGCCCATCTTGAACCACACCCCATGCGGGGTCCGCCCCTCCCCTCACACTGCCCGTGTGTCCCTGGAGCCCTGTGACCCCCAGCTCCCAGGTGACCTGGGAGGCCAGTGACTGGGCACACCCCTGCCCGGGCCTAGGGAAGGACGACCAGGACTCCACACGGAAAGCAGCCGGTGCAGGGACTCCTGAGGAAGAACTGACTGTCCCCTCCCCCGAGAAGGGAACTGCTTCCCTCCTTCTAGAGGGCGAGGGGGGTCTTCAGGACCATCTGAAGCCGCTATGCCCACCGGGGCTGATACTGATCCCAGGGGAAGAGCCCAAAGGCAGCTATTGGCGTCTGGATACAGCTGATCCTGACGGCCTCCCTGTGCTGTTTCCTGTCTCAGTGTGGGCGACGTCACCCCTGCACCTACCTCCCCCACTGCGCATGCTCCTGACACCCCAGGGAGCTGGGCTAACCTGCCCTGAGCTGGACTGGACCCCCCGGGAGCAGGGCGGAGGTGGGGGGATGGTCTCCGGGGCTGGGTCACCAGGGCGCCTCCCACCCACCACACACCCCCCTCCCCGCGCTGGCCGCTTTCTCAGCCATGCCTTACTCCACGCCTGGGAGCACAGTGCTGAGCTGTGGGGGGCTGCCCTGTGGTGGGCTCCCAGTGGCTGACTCCCCAACACCCCAAGGGGCAGCAGTGGGTGTCTGTCAGCTATCACCCTGTGGGTGACACTGCAGTAGTAGGAAAAGACCCCGAACGGGAAGCACGCTGCAGCCAGCAGGAGCTCGCTCTTGTTCCCTGAGATGCCTTCTGCTTACCTGGCCAGCCTCTTCTCCTTGGCCCCCAAATACACCCTCCTCTGCCGCCATAGGAAGTCTCCAAAGGGCCCTGGGGAACCCATCACTCCAGCCATCCTCCCCGCCCTGCAACCCCTGGCAGCTCCCTTATCCGCATCAGCAGCCTATCCCTGGTCCCTGCTCTTCAGAGCGGCCTCAGGACCTTTGCACATGCCACTCTACGGGCGGAGGGGTCGTGAGCTCTCCCCCTCCTGGCCCCTCACTCAGAGGTGGCGCCCACATAACTGAGCAGCCAGCTTATTTCCTCTGCCACCCCGTCTGCAGGGCTGTGCTCTGTGGCAGCCTCATCGCAAGTGCTCCAGCAGAAGCATCCGTGTGTGTGCTCGCACGGGGGTGGGCTGGGGGTGGGCGGGTCTGGAAGGCTGTGCTCACCGTATTTCTTATTGAACAGGTCCTGCACCTGCTCCCTTAGCGTGTTGGCGATGTCGATGCGTGAGAGCCGGGCGTCGTAGTTCTCTGTGGAGGGAGGGAGTTATGGACCAGGTGGCCCAGGAAGGGGCAGGTGTGGGGGCTGGAGGGAGGGTCCCGGGGGGAGGGCAATGGCCTTGCACAAGGCCAACCTGGGTTCGATCCCTGGCATCCCACAGGGTCCCCCGAGCACCGCCAGGAGTATTTCCTGAGTGCAGAGCCAGGAGTCAGCCCTGAGCATCACCGGGTGTGACCCGAAGGGGAAAAAAAAAAGGCACCCATGACCCGTAAGGAGCCTGCTCTGGGACCGTCAGCCCCTCAGAGGGGCCCGCCTAGCCTTCAAGCCCTCAGTGCCGACCTCTTGACGGAGCCACAGGTTCCGGGGGGCTGAGCAGCCACGACAGCAGCCTGGGGGACCCCATGTGGGTGAGCGGGTGCCGAGGAGGCGGTGAGGGCCTGGGCGTGGGGCCCCTCCTGGCCCGGACTGCTGCAGCGCCTGCCCGGGGGCATTTCTCACCGCAGAGGGCCCAAAATGGGAGAAAGCGAGGAGGCCCAGCTCCTGATACCCCTCAACACGAGGGGACCCCAGAGGGACCCCCAAGTTGGTGCCTCTGTGGGGCGATGAGCAGATAGGGCCACAGGGCTGACGGGGGTGGGGGGAATTACCCCCACAGGCCAGAAGACCTTTCTGTGCCCCAATGCTGACCAGCCCACCCGGCCCCCAAAGCCCAAGGCAGGGGCCAACCCTTCTGCCCCAGCCGGGCCCCCCAGGCCCGAGCCAGGCCCCCGCCGCCCCTTACCTTGGAAGCCCTGTCTCTTCAGGCTCTCGTCCGCCAGGGGGTCCCCAGGGTCCCTCTCTGAGGGCGGGGGCAGAAGCAGGGGTGAGCAGCGGCCAGGACAGGGAGGTCAGGGGCACCCCTGGGGAAGGGGATGCAGGGGAGGGGAGGGCTGGCCCCCCTCCCCCAGCACCCCTGCCCGGCGTCCCCAAACCCAGCACCCCCTGCCAGGTGACCCCTCCCCCAGCACCCCCGCCTGGCACCCCCACACCCCCGTGGCACCTTGGCTGTCCAGGCTGGATTCCTTCACTCCCTCAGTCAGCAGCTCGGGCCTGGAAACAGCAAGTGTGGGGGGTCACCCGGGCCCCAGGCCCCTCACCCCACCTTGTCTACACATCCTGCCCCACCCCTGCAGGAATTTGACTCCGGGAAGATACCAGTTGGGGCCTCACTTCTGTGTGTGTGCGTATGTGTGTGTATACATTTGTGCGGGAATGTGTTTAAGTGTGTGTGTGTGTGTGTGTGTGTGTGTGTGTCTGTGCCAGCCCTCACTGCCCCTTTTTTGTTTGTCTAGTTTTGCTGCTGGGGGACAAGGGACAGGGAGGGAGCGTGGGAGGGAGGAGGAGAGGCTAGGCCCGGCCCCTCAGGCCTGGACCACCTCAGCCAGGCCTCCCGGCCCCCCACCCCAAGGAGGAGGAGACGGTGCCACTTCTGATGATGCAGCTCTACCCGGGAATCCTGGGTCTGGGTCCCGGCACGCCAGAGTTCCTGTGCGGTGACAAGAATGCCCCCAGCACCGCCCCCCCCCCACCCCCTGGTCCCATGGCGCTCACCGCTTGATGACAAAGCGGATGCTGTCACTGGCCTCCAGGATCTTGCGGAGCTTGGCGATGCCAAAGCAGTTGGGCCGGCGCAGGGCGATGCCCTCGGGCAGTCCCACCACGAACAGCTCCTCGGGGTGCATCAGGAACTTGGAGTAGGGCACCTTGACGGGCTCCGAGATGCCCATGGCCTTGGCTGCGGGGACAGCACCCGCATCGGCCCCCAGCAGACAGGTATGCCAGTCGCCTGGGGGCCCCCCCACACTGAGCTAGGCGACCCCCAAGCCCAGGTCACTCGCATCCCCCCGCGTAGGCCGAGTGGGAGAACCCCTCAGGCCCCCTGGTGTGGCAGCTCCTTTCCCTATACGGCACATCCCCCGCCCCGGGGCCCCTGTGCTGCTTCCTGTGTTCTGGTGGGACCCCCAGGGTGACCCCGGTGCTGCCTGCACCGGCCCTCTGCTCTGTCCTGGCTGACTACGCACATGACCCATGCGACTTGTCGGGCCTTTTCTCCTCAGTGAAATGTGGTCGTGGCACCGGGATGTGGAGCCTCCCCCTCCCCCCCCAGGCCCCTGCATCCACGTGTGCACCTGACAAGCCAGGAGGTGGCAGGGCAGTTCCAGGGGACAGGGCATCTTCTGGCCCAGCCTGTCTCCCCAGCAGAACAGCTGGAGGTGGGGAGGGCCCCCCTTCCGTGCACCCGCCCCCCCGGGTTCCTCATCTCTGGCGGCACACACCCGCCCCTCACCGTATCTCGTGTTAAACAGCAGCTCCACCTGCTTCCGCAGAGGCCGGATCACGTCCCCATGGCTGTCTGCAAGGCAAAGGGCAGCACGCTGGCCTCCGGGCACTGGGCCGGGGGGAAGGGGGGGGGGGGGTGGAAGCAGGGGAAGTCGGAAACCACCTCCCAGATGCGTCCCAGAGTCCCAGGGTCGGGGGGAGCCAGGTGGAGGCCAGGCAGCCTCGGGACAAGTATCTCCAATCCCGTTGTTCTCTGTGTGGGGAGGGGAGTACCCAACCGGTGGGGCTAAGCCTGCAATTGAACAGGCCGCCACTAGGGGGCAGTGCACGCCGGGTCTCAGGTCCCAGCCAGGCTGGAGGGGCGGGGGGGGCCAGAAGTGTCGCTTTCTCCTCCTGCCCCCTCTCACCCGGCTCATTCCAGGGGCTGCTACCCCAAGATGAAACCACCTGTCCTCACTCCTGTGCTCCTCAGCGCTCCAGGGGTCAGTGGGCAAGGCCGCAGACTCAGCCAACTTTCAGCCTGACATTTTTTTAGGGGGCGGGTGGGGACACCCGGAGGGCCCCTGGGGGTTGCCCCCAGGACTTCAAAGCACATGCTCTGGTTCCGGGGACGGGATTCAGTCCTCCACCAGCCAGTGAAGTGAGCGGTCCAGCCCACAAACCATCTTCCCGACCTGTGGGCTTCTGGGTCCCACCCAGCGGCGCTGGGGGTGGGGTGGGGTGGGGGGAGGACTCCTGCCTCTGTGCTCAGGAGTGACCCCAGGCTCAGCTCAGCCGATTGCATGTAGATCAAATCCAGGTGGGCGTGGGCATCACCCTCGGGGACAATTGCTCGGGCTCCAATGCCAATCGCTAAGCAGGCTGACGGGTTCGAGGTCAGGCGCCTGGGGGGCCCCGGGAGCCTCAGAAATCTCCCCATCTCAGTACACAGCGGGGGGTGAGGGTGTACAGCACACCCACCCTCAGCCTGTTCCTGCCGGTCCTGGCAGGCAGCTCCATCCCCCTGTGTGGGACCCTGGAGACGTGCGGGGACAGGGCGGACTCACCCTCCATGGGCCTCTCTTCGGGGTGCGGGTCCTCACTGCCAGGGCCTTTGTCTGAAAGAGAGGCGGGTGTTGGGGGGGCACCTCCTCCCCCCACACACCTGCACCCACCCCAGCCAGGCGGGCGACCCACAAAGTGGGCAGCGACTTCCAGTCACAAGAAGGGCCCCAGCTGGTCCCACCTGCAAGCATCTCCATCCCGTAGCCGGAATCTTCCGAGGGCAAGTGGCCGGTCACGGAGTCGGTCATTTCCTCAGAGGTCGGGGAAGGGTCTGGGGACAAAACTCCCCATGGCACGAGCGCCCTCAGCCACTGCCCAGAGCAGGACCCCCAGGGGCACAGGCAGGGCCAAGGTGGGGAGCAGGGGCCCCCGGTGGGGCCTCGGAGGTTGGGCACACGCCCATTTCACTGATATGGAAACTGAGGACCGGGTTGGGGGGGTCTGAATCTGGAGGCAAACTCAAACCTCTGTCTTCCTCTCCCCTGTGCCCGGCACACCGGGCAGCCTCCAGGGTGGAGACATGCCCACGCCTGTCCCCTCCTCACCTGGGATGGTCACCTGAATGATATCCAGGTCCTCCGGCTCGATCTTAATGGCTCTCAGCACGCCCAGCTCCCCGGAGGTTCCTGCAACAAGGGGGGAGGCGACAAGGGCCGGGCTGAGGGCTGGGCAGAGTAGGTCATTCCAGAATGTTCTCACACTGCTACTTGTCAGTGAGTGCCAGGAACAGTCCCAAGGTAGACTGGGGTGGGGTAGGGGGCGCTCAGGCCAGTGCTCAGACCCTCAGTGTCCGCAGAGCTAGACACTGCAGGGCGGCCAGGTGGGCACACACTCTGGGGAGTGGTGGGGTCAGGATCTGGGTCTCCTGAGGGTGGGGACACGGAGCTGGGCATAGACCCTGAGCACCCAGGCTCCTCGCCAAGGCTAGAGGACCCCGCCTGGACCCCCTAACATACACGCAGACACGCGCCCATGGGTCCCCTTCCCTCACTCGGACACGTGGGCACACATACACCTCAACATACAACATGCATGCACAGAGGCCTGTCCTGGACACGCATGCATGCATACACGGGCCCGAGCCACTAACCTGGACACACACACACGCACACGTGCAGGCCTGTCCCGTTCACATGGACACACACAGACATGCATGTGTACACTCATGGGCCTGTCATGTTCACTTGGACACACACATGTACATAAACACGTGTGCATACTATGGGCCCATCTCACCCACACGGACGGACACACCACACACACACACACACACACGCGCGCGCACACACACACGCGCACACACACGCACGTGCCCCCTGCTCACCTGGCCCACAGTCCTCGGCGATGCCGCTCCTATCTAACCTGCAGGGACAGGACGAGGATGACGCGGGGTGCCCGGCCAGAGGCCCTCCCCGTCCATGTCCCCAACCCCGACTCAGGGCCAGCCCCGGCTCCCACCCTCCCGAGCGCCCGGCTGGCAGGCGGTGGGCACACTCTGGGCTCCTGGCAGCTGGCCGGGCCCCAGGGAGGGTCAGTGAGCCTGTGCCCCCGGCACCTGGGGCAAGTCCCGGGGGCCTCCTGGCCCAGGGTGACGGGGTCTTACCGAGCAGCCCCGGCCAGGTCTAGGCCAGCAGTGCGCGAGGCCTCGGCGGAGACGTCCTCGGGCGGGCTGGGGGGTTCCAGCTTGGTGGGGTCTTTGGTAAACTTGTTCCCTGGTAGGGATTTGGTGGGGGGGTCAAGGATCGGAGGGGGAACACCCCCCCCCCCCCGACCTGCTGCTGCCTGTGGGGTGCTGGGCAGGGGCTCTGGGGGCGCTCAGGGGCGGCCTCTGCCCGGGTCTCCCTCATAGGGAGGGAGCAGGGGGTCTGGCCCAGAGGGCTCCCGAGACAGGGCTGGGCCCATTTCCCAGATGCAGGAACTGAGGCCTTACACCCTGCTCCGGTCGCCATGGTGTTGGGGTCGGGGGACCCTGTGGCACGGGGCTAGACGCAGGCTGCTGGCAAGGCCCCGCTTCCACCTGTGCCAGGCGCCAGACACGGTGACAATGGGACACACAGATGGGGCGTCTGGACTGTCTGTCCTTCCTGCCCCTGCCCAGGGCACCCCGGGGGCGGGGCGGGGGGGACTCAGGGATCACAGAGGGCACACTGGGGGCACTGGCCTGGCAGCCTCGTACCTGTGAAAATTCGCTCATCAAACATCCTGGGGAGAGAGGGAGAGCAGCGTGAGGGGAGTCCCAGGCCACACACAGGGACGGGAGGGGACGCAGCCGGAGGGCTGGTGCCTCAGACCAGCTGTCCGCGGGAGGCCGGGGCCAGTCCTGCAGGAGCCGGGGCGTCCGACCGGGTCCTCCGGATGTCAGGACTCTCCGTGGCCACAGCTGGTGGGGACCCCCACCCCGCCCCCACGCACAAGGTTCCCAGGAGCGGCCACAGGGCCTGTGACCTGCCCAGGTCACAGTCCTGCCGGGGGTACGGGAGACAAAGAGCCCAGGAGGTCCCACCTGGGATCAGGCCCCCCCCGGGGCAAAGTGAGCATGGAGGAGGGTCACGGGGCTGGGAGTCTCTGCCTGCAGGTCTCCGAGGGCCCCCTGCTCAAGTGCCAGGTGACCCCACCCCCCAGAAGGCCACTGGGCGGGGAGGGTGGGAGGCAGTGGGAAGATCAGTGAGGACTCAGGCCAGAGAGGCGGGACTGCGGGGAGGGGGGTCCCGGAGCCCCGCTGGGTGTAGCCCCCAAACTGGGAGAGACAAAACAACCAGGAAAAGAAAGTGGGGATATGAGGTGCTTGGCGGCGGGCGGGGGCCGGGGGGCGAGTGGGGCTGGAATGTCCCACTGCAGAGCCGGACCTTTAAATAGTGCCGGAAACCACAGGGCCTAAAATACATATATATGTTTTTTTTTAGTTTTTGGGCCACACCCGGCAGTGCTCAGGGCTGACTCCTGGCTCTGCACCTCGGACAGGGATCAGGGGCCCGTAACAGACACCTCGGATAAAAACCCAGGCACCCCCCCTCCCACACACACACTACTCCTCCAGAGCGGGAGGGAGTTTGCCTTGTGCGCGACTGACCCGGGTTCGATCCCCGGCATCCCATATGGTCCCTTGGACACCGCCGGGAGTGATTCCTGAGTGCAGCGTCAGGAGTAACCCCTGAGCATCGCTGGGGTGTGACCTTTCCCAACCCCCTCCCCGCCCAAAAATCATTTAGAAAACAAAGTCATGTGGCAGGGGTCAAACCCGGGCAGACATTCTTATTAGCTCTTCCGGGCAAATACCCGGTGGTGCTCAGGAATCACTCACCCCTGGCGGGGCTGGGACCATATGGGGTGCCCGGGATTGAACCTGTGTCAGCCGCATGCCAGGCAAGTGCCCTCCCTGCTGAACTATTGCTCCCACCCCTTATCCATTCACTCACACTCTGTCAGTCCCTCCTCCCTTCCCTCTCTCCCTAGTTCCTCCCTCCCTCCTTCCTCCGTCCCTCCTTCCTCCCTTCCTTCCTTCCTTCCTTCCTTCCTTCCTTCCTTCCTTCCTTCCTTCCTTCTCTCCCTCCCTCCCTCCCTCCCTCTTCCTTCCTTTCCTTTTTCATTCCCCCTCCGGTGATCACTCCTCTCCTTCCCCTGCCCTCCCCCGACTCATGACACACGAATGTCAGGGCGGCCCCCATGTGCCAGCATGGGCGAGGGGCTGGGGTGCAGCCCTGCCCGGGACCCCAGCTCAGGGCGCCGTGCCAAGGGGCTTGGGGGAAAGCTGGGTGGTCTGCGGATACCTGCCCAGGGCTGAGCCCTGCACCGTGGGCACCCCCAGCTGCCCCAGACCAATACCTGACCCCGTGCCCTGTCCTCCGGGACGCCCCTGCAAGGAGGGGACTGGGGCGCGTGGCCGGAAGTGCGCCCTCCCCCCACCCCCCGCCTGGGCCGGCCGTCACCTCTTGATGATGAAGTGGATGCCGTGTCGCTCCTCCAGGATCCGCTTGAGCTTGGGGACCCCGTAGGTGCAGGGCCGCTTGAAGGGGATCTTGTCGGGGATGCCCACAATCTCCACGGCCTCGGGGTCGCAGGCGATCTTCCGGTAGGGCACCGGCACCATATGGTCCAGACCCAGGGCCTCCGCTGGGGGGACGGGGGGGGGGGGGGGGGAAAGCACCGGGTCAGGCACAACCTGCCCCCACACCCCCGGTCCAATTCCAGACTCGCACTGGCCCCAGCACGGCTAGGAGCACGGCCAGGATCACGGCCTCTCCATGCCCGGTACGGCGCCGAGAAACCCCACCAGTCCAGAGCTGAGTTCGACTCCTGGAAGGGTGCGCACGCACCCACCCACCCACCCACCCAGAGGTCCTGGAGCCCCAGAGGTCCGGGGGAGCCTTTAAGGAAACAGCCCCTAGGCTTGACTCGGGGCTCAAAGGCACCCGCCGTGCAAACAGAGACCCTGAGTTTGATCCCTGCTGCCGCCCACCTGCCTGAGCAGGGCTGGGTGCACACTGCAGCCAGGGCTGTGACCTGCCAGCGAGACGTCTGAGGGTGGAGGGGATGGGGGTGGGGCCTCACCCAGGGGGTCCCCTGTGGATTGCAGTTTCCCGCCACTGGGGTGGGGGCTGCATCGGAGCACTTAGCTGTCAGATTAAAGCTTCGGAGGCTCAGCAGCTGCCAGACACCCCCCCACCCTGCCCTCCCCCCAGTGCTGGTCGTGGGCTCGTCCCCCTCTGGGATGGGGAATCTGCCTGCAATGCCAGAAGCCCTCCCCCCACTGCCCCCAGCCCCCTTTCGGGGGCCCTCCAGCAAGCCGGCCTCATTTCTTGGGCCCTGTCCCACGCCTGCCTCGCTGGTCCCTGCACCCAGAGGTGGGGGGCCTGGCGGGAGTGGGCACAGGCAGTTCCGGGTCTGGGAGGGGCCCTGGGCGGTGCCCCAGCTCTAACCCCCCCCAACCCCCGCCCTCGGGAACGCTCAGAAGAGACTCAGCCTCCAGGTCAGGAAGGCGCCTGAGCTGCCACCCAGAAACATCCAGAAATATCCGGAGTGAGCCCAGGCTGGGAATCTAGGTCTCCGCACAGGGGAGGGACAGACCCAGCGCGAGCGGGCGGCAGCGTCCCTGTCCCTGCCCGTGTCCCCACCGTCCTGGGGCTGCTGGCGCAGAGAGGAGGAGGGGAGACCGCGAGAGCCTCCTCCGAGGTGCACAGCCCCCCGGAAGGCCTGGAGAGCCGCGGTTAGTGCCACCCTAACGCGGCCCCCCTCCTGGCCTGCTGCCTCCTCCAGGAAGTGGTCCGGGCTTGCTACCTGCCAAGACTTTAACGACCCTCTGAGCCGTCTGCACCAAGGGTCCTCCCCACACTCCTCCTTTAGAGAGGGGCTGACTGCAAGTACCGCAGGGAGGGAGGGCGCTTGCCTTGCTCGGGTCCCCCCAAGCCTTGCCAGGAGCGTGCCCTGAGCACTGTCAGGGACGACCCCAAAGCAAGCAAAGACTGAGGAGACGGATGCAGCCCAGGTCTGTCCCCACCGCCCAGCGGGGCCCGTCTGGGGGTCCAGGCCTCCAGTCGGGGTCTGCTGGGCAGGCCAGGTGGGGGCACATGAGCGCTGAGCAGGACAAGGCGGGAACGGGGCGAGGGAAGTGGGGCGGTGAGGGCGCGGGCCACAGGGTGGGCTGAGATGAGGCGTCCACGCCAGCCACCATGGCCCCCTGCAGAGGCGCAGGGACGCGGGGCTGAGGGGCCCAGGGGTGGCCTCAGTGACGGCAGTCAGGCTGGCCAGGGCACGGAGGGGCAAGGGGGTGGACACACACATGATACACGCTCACACAGGCACACGCCAATTCACATATGCATGCATGCACACATGCTCGTACATGCATGCACACATCACATTCACACAGGCATGCACACAGTGCTCGCACGCGCGCACACCCGCGCACACCCACACACACCCACACAGTCTCTCTCACTTACACACTCTGGTCAGGTGGCGGACTGACCCCGTGGGGGGCAGGGACACAGACCAGAAAGGGCGTGTCCCTCGAGTCCCTCCCCAGTCCCCAGGAGGCCACCTGCCCCCCAGCCTGCCTGCCGCCCCAGCCCAGCCCGCGGGCCAGCAGATGGCTCGGCTGCCGTGTTGCAAACAGCGCCGGCCGGCGCCCACTCACCATATCTGCTGTTGAACAGGATCTGCACACACTCCCGGAGGGTGTTGATGTCCTCCGTGTCCTTGATGAAGGCGTCCCACTTCTCTATCAGGACACAGGGGGCTGCGTGAGGCCAGCACCTGCCACCCGGACGGACCCTCGCGCCCCAGTCTCCTGCATGGGGCTTAGGGGGGCCTGGCCCTCCTCACCGCCTCACCCGCCCCGCTCCCGGCGACACGCGCAGGCGTGGACGCCCAGCTCCTCTGGACGCTTTTGGTTTTGGGGCAGTTTTGTTTGTTTTAGGGTCAACCCTGACGATGCTCAGGGGCGACTCCTGGTTCTGCACTCAGGAACCACTGCTGGTGGTGCTCGGGGGGACCAAGCAGGATGCTGTGGATCGAATCCAGGTCGCCTGCATGCAAGGAAGTGCCCTACCCACTGTACTAGCGCTCCAACTCCCTGCCCCCCTGGTTTTGTGTTTTTTTTTTTTTTTTTTTGCTTTTTGGGTCACACCTGGCGATGCTCAGGGGTTACTCCTGGCTCATGCACTCAGGAATTACCTCTGGTAGTGCTCGGGGAACCATATGGGATGCTGGGAATCGAACCCAAGTCAGCCACGTACAAGGCAAACGCCCTACCCGCTGTGCTATTGCTCCAGCCCAGTGCCCCTTGCTTTTATTATTTTCCTTTCTCCTTTTTTTCTTTTGTCAGAATTAGTTCACTGGGGCCAGAAGGAGAGTACGGCAGGTCGGCGCTTGCCTTGTGTGTGGCCGACCCGGGTTCCAATCCCAGCACCACAGAGGGTCCCCTGAGCTGGCCAAATGTGGTCCCACGCTACCATATATACATAATAATAAGTCACTGTCACTGTCCTCCCGTTGTTCATCGATTTTGCTCGAGCGGGCCCAGTAACATCTCCACTGGAGACTTTGTTGTTACTGTAAGTAAAATATATATTTAAACAATGATGTTGTGGTGCCAGGGCCAGAACTCAGAAACACGTGGCCCCTTCTGGCACCACCGAAATGGCTCTTGCGCATGCCAGGTGTCACCCAAAGCAACAATAACAATAACGACACTGTGCGCAGGCCGGGGAGACGGCACCAACGGCAGGGTCATCGGCCTCGCAGGTCGAGACCCTGGTTTAGTTGCGGGCACCACTGTGGATCCTCACGACCGCGGACACACATGCCAGAGCCGTCTCACCAGAGGTGGCCCTGCTCCTGAGCACTGCTGGGGAGCGCCCTCGCCCCCCAGGAGAAAGAGAAACACCTGCCAACGCTGACGTTTATGAGGGGGGCCATGCCAGAGGGCACTTGGGGCTACTTCCGGGTGTGACTTGGGGGAGAGGGGAGGGTGTGGGGGTTGTTCCCGGTGGAGGCGCTAGCTCAGGAAACCTGGGGGGTTGGGGGGTGCTGGGGCCCGAACCCCCAGGCCACTACACCGCCCCCTGGCCAGGCCTCCCACAGTGAGGCCTGGTGACACTTGTCATGCCGGGGATTCGCCTGTGTGGGAGCCGAGCCTGCGCCAACGCAACAGGGCATGGGCTCACCGTGGAGCCACAACCCAGCCCCCAATCCGTTCTCCTTCCCAGAGTGGGGGGCCGGGCCGCCCCATCTCCTTTTGAGTGTCAACTGGACCTGGATTTGTGGGGAACAATGGTGGAAGCGACCACGGATCTGAGGTGTGGGCTTCCTCTCGGGCAGGAACTCCGGGAACCAGCCACCACATGGGGATGCTCGGGAGGTCTGGGGCGGCCAGTGGGGGGGGTGTCCTAGTGGATCCCCCGTCTCAGGCCCCATCTGTGGATGTCTGACGTAAACCAGGGGAGATCGTGAACAGGAACAGCTCACTGTGGTAGTGACACTCTGAGGGGGACGCTGAGGGAAAGGCTTTGAGTGGGACACTCTCAGGGGGACCCTCTGAGATGGACACTCTGAGGGGAATGCTCTGAAAGGGATGCTGAGGGAGATGTTCTGAGGAAGATATTCTGAGGGGGACCCTCTGAGGGAAGGCACTCTGAGGGGGACCCTCTGAGGGGAGACGCTCTGAGGTGGACCCTGTGAGGGAAGGCGCTCTGAGGGGGACCCTGTGAGGGGAGACGCTCTGAGGTGGACCCTGTGAGAGGAGATGCTCTGAGGGGAACACTTGAACAGGGACACTGAGGTGGAGTAGATGCTCCGAGAGAGACATGCTTTGAGGGAGACATTCTGAGGTGAATGATCTGAAGTGGGTGCTGAGAGGGACACTCTGCGGTGGACACTGAGGGGAACGGTCTGAGGGAGACGCTCTGAGGAGGACGCTCAGAAAAGGACACTCTGAGAGAGATGCGCTCAGTGGAACATGCTGAGGGGGGCCCTCTGAGGTGTACACTCTTGAGGGGGACATGCTGGTTTGTCTCAGCTGTGATGGGGTCACATGACATCGTCCACATCACCCCGGGGTGAGCCCCAGTCCCCCGCATGGTGCTTCCCCCGTCCCCCCCGGCCACCCCAGACCCACCCACCCATCTGTATCTCCCCACCCTGCGGTCCTACCTGACTTGTCATGGACGATGGAGAAGAGGATGCGCTTGGACGCGTGGACGTTCTGAATGAGAGGCCCAGCGGGCCCGGGGGGCTTCTGTCCTGGACAAGGGAGAGGAGAGGTGCAGGTTCGCTTGGGAGCCCCCTGCGGGTGATGCCCCACCTCAACAGGACCGAGCCCCGAGATGCGCACACAGGCGGGTGGGGTGGGGGCTGACAGGAGGGGGGACCCGGCCTGTTGCTCCACCCCCACATCTGGGGGAAGGGGCCCCGTTTCCCCCGCACACAGGAGAAGCGCTCGTGTAGCCTCACGGCGCCCACGACACGCTGCTGCGGGGATGAAGACTTTCAGCTGTGAGCGAACCACAGGAACGTGGGTGCTCGTCACGCCCGCTGCAGCGGTGACTGGCGCCTTGGAACATGCATTCCCCACACTCGCTAGGAACGGGCATCTCGGGAGGCAGCAGCTCCGTCTCTGCCATGAGGAGACATGAGCTCAGAGAGGTTGGCCTGTGGCTTGGGACATGCAGGCCAGGAACCAGGATCTGGGTCCAGGTTGTTCTCACAGCCTGAATCTAAGCCTCTTAGACCGCCAAGCCAGGCTGCACACAGCAGGTGCTTACTAAGTATACACACCAGGTAGCCCATATACACCAGGTGCTGACCACGTGTATGGGCCAATTAGCCTGTATACAATAGGTGCTCACCACAAGCGTACAACTGATTAGCTTGCCTAGAGCAGGTGCTCACTAAATGTATGGACTATCAGCCTGCATACAGCAGGTGTTCACTAAGTGTATGGGTCATCAGCCTGCATACAGCAGGTGCTCACTGCATGTGTGGGCCCAGGGGCCTTACTCCCTGCATCCGTGCTCTGGGATCTGGCTCAGAGATAGCCAAGGAAGCACGCTAGCCCACTGGACGGGAGCCGGATACCCCCACCCACCCCAGCCCCATAGTCATCCTTCAGTCCAGACAGGCCTGAGCTCCCCGGCCTGCCCTGGGAAGAGGACACCCCAGAGGAGTGACCTCTGCCCCTTGGCCTGCTCTGGGGTCCGCTGCTTACCACAGCAATCAGTGAAGTCCTGGGGGCCAGAGCCCTTAGACTCAGGCCCCGAGCGGCCCAGGCCCAGGTCGCCGGGGGTGAGGGGCCCAGGGGGCGCCTCCTGCTTCAGCTCTCGGATGGGGTGGCTGGGTGGCGCCGAGCTGTACAGGAAGCTGGCCATCGAGGCAGTGGCCGTGGGCGGCAGCTCCGGGGTGGGACCCTTGGGGCCGGGGCCATGCAGGCTGCAGTCCCGAGAGCCCTTGCTGGACAGGGCGACCCCGTTCAGCTCCACCAGGGCCTTCGAGTCCCGCCCACCCTCGTCAGGTGGCCTGGAAAGAGAACAAACGGGTCAGACCCGGGGCCGGGCTGGTGGTCTACAGGATTAGGCTCCCCCAGGGGCGGTGTGGGCTGGGGGCCCAGCTGGGCCTCCTTTGCACACCTCCCCCCGCCCCCCCCCCCGACCCCAGCCGCAGCTCTGACGGGGACCGTGCCCCACGGCCCAGCCCCATCCCCCTGCCCCGAGAGAGACCACCCTTGGCTCACCCCGGGACAGACCAGTGACCCCCACCCCCACCCCACCAAGACACGTCGGCCATGCCCACCTCTTGAGCTTGAAGCGGATGCGGTGGCTGTGCTCCAGGATGGCCATGAGCGCCTTGGGGTCGTACTCGGCCGGCCGGCGGAAGGCCAGGCCCTCGGGCAGCCCCTGCACGGCCAGCAGCCCCGGCTCCCGTAACAGCCGTTCGTAGGGCAGCGGCACCACGCCGGCCCGGCCCAGCGCCTCGCCTGCGGACAGCGGGCACGGTGAGGGACGGCAGACGCCGAGCCCCGGGCCACACACGGGGGGCCCAACCCCCAAGGGGACCCCGGGTGGGCACTCTGGGGGGAAATGACGGGCGTCGGAGGGGAGAGACAGTTCTCAGGAGGCGGCGTTAAGGGGGAGCTGTGGGAAGGGGACGGGGGCGGGGGGCAACCGGTGTCCAACTGCGACCAGGAGGCCCTACACTAACACAGGGAGCAAGGAGCAGGCTAGGGGGGGACTCTGGGTCTGACCCCTGCAGCAGGTGAGATGGTCCCCGGGAACATGAGCAGCCCAGCCTGACAGGGGGCCTTGGGGTCCTCTGGGGGAGTCTGAGGGAATAAAGTCGGTCAGGAATGACGACTGGGGGCTGGAGCGATAGCACAGCGGGGAGGGCGTTTGTCTTGCATGCAGCCGACCAGGGTTCGATTCCCAGCATCCCACAGGGTCCCCCGAGCACCGCCAGGAGTAATTCCTGAGTGCAGAGCCAGGAGGAACTCCTGAGCATCGCCGGGTGTGACCCAAAAAGAAAAAAAAAAAAGACGACTGGCCAGCCCAAGGTCACTTCGAGGGCACGCAGTCACCCTCATGCCGGACTGGCAACCAGACCCCCACGGCCGTCACTCTGTTCAACAACACTGCCCGGCCTGCTTCCTCCAGGCTGGCCCGCCTGCAGGGATACCAGCAGAGGGCCCCTGTCCCCTAGACAGAGGGAGGAGGCAATCCCCCAAGTGAGGAGGGGCAGCTGGCGCCGGCAAGTACTGAGGACAGGCAGTGGGCACAGCCGGACACGTGGCACCTTGTTTCTAACGAAATGTTCTGGCTGTGGGGCTGCACCTCGGGGTGCTGAGGGCTTAACTCCCGGTTCTGTGAGGGGAAAAAGGGTTGGAGCCAGACGGAAATTCAGGAAGAGGCTCCTGGTCCCACAGGGCTGCTGGGATGGCCAGTAGAGCTGGGAAGCAGGTGGCCAGGCCATTTCTGGGCGTGCGGGACCCCTGACCAAGGGCTGGGCGGGGGCAGTGCCCCCAGCTGAGGTCGGGGCCGGGCTCCCACCCACCCGGGGCCCCGAATGGAAGGAGGAAGGATCTTACTATAAAGAACATCAAACACCTCTTCCACCATCTTCCGCAGCAGGTACACGTCCGAGCCGTGCTCCAGCGAGGCTCGCGCCAGGCTCCGGCTGCCGCCCTCAGCCCGCAGGACCTTCTTGGGGTGCTCTGCCTCCGGTTCCTTCCAGGGAGGTCCTCCTGTAGAATGCAGGGAGTGTGGGGCCCCGGGCATACCCGTCCCCTCAGCTGCCATGGGTAGCAGGGGACCAGCCAGCCGAGGAGAGGATGAATGAACGAATGGGTGAGCAGGTGAGCGGGTGAATGAACGAATGGAAGCGTGTGTGAACTGGAGCCGTCACCTCAGAGTCCCTTCTAACTTGCTGGGGCACCTCTAACTTGCTGGGACAAACCCCCTTTTCCTCTCTGAGCCCAGGGGTGAACCCTCAGGAGAAACCTGCTAGGCCCACACGGGTTCCGTGCAAGCAAGCCCAGCTGACTCCTGGCTCTGCGCTCGGGGGTCACTCCCAGAAGGTCTCGGAGGACCCTAAGGGGTGCTGGGAACTGAACCTTGTTGGGGTGTGTCAGGCAAGCACCCTACCCGCTGTACTATCTCTGTCCCGGAAGAACATTCTATCTTTTGGGGGGGATGTAGGGGGTGGCACAACCGAGTCACGGTATGTCCCTGGCTCTACTCTCAGGGTTCGCTCCTGGAGGGGCTCAGGGGGCCACATGGACGCCAGGGATTGAACCGGGCCGGACAAGCGCAAGGGAAGTGCCCTACCCAAGGCACGAACTTCCTGACCCCAAATGTTCTGCCTTAACCCACCAAGCACCCAGGTTCTGCTGCCACATGGGGAGAAGACAGCCCCCCCCAAAAGGCTAGAGTCTGCAAGAATGGAGGTTCAGGCCACACTGGGGGGGGGGCAATGGGAGTGACCCCTGGGCCCTGGAAGACCTGCTAGAAATGGCCCTAAAGGGGGCCAGGAGGGGCTGAGGGGCCTCCTCGCCTGCAGTCGGCTGCCGGCTGCAACCTGCGAGGCTGGAAATAAACCAGCTGAGCTCTCAGAGCTAAAAATAGTGACTCGGCCAGGCTGGGCGAAGCCAGGTGCACCTCCCCAGCCCAGCTACTGGGATCCCAGGACCCTGCCACCCCCCAGCCTGAGGGGGGAGGGGGAGGAGGGCTGTCTGGGGAAGCAGCTGCACCCAGAGACGCCAGAAATGATGCACCCCCTGGTGGGAGTAGCATTCCCCGGGGTGACATCCAAGGTGGTCCTGAGCACCAGGAGGCAGAGTCTACTGCATTTCTGACCAAAGCACCAGCAGGCCTAAGCCCAAGGCCTCCCGTGAGCCTGAACCCAGAGGGCAGCAGGTGAAGAAGCCAGGTCAAGCCGGAACTCTTTCCTGCTGGATGGGGCGGGGGTGGGGGAGAGGGCAGGGCTCGTGCCATGGGCCCCAAGGGTCAGTGATCTGGTCAGGACCCATCATCGGCTTCAGCCGCTGAGGATGGGGATGGAGCTCGGGTTCTCACATGCGCCAGGGTGAGCTCCAGCCCTCGGAGCTAGCTCACCGGCCCTGGCCTACATTTTCACGGAGAGCTCTGAGAGGCTCCTGGAGCCACGGCTGAGTGAGTCCCAGGGCTGACCGGGGAGGCCTTCACCCACTCTGCTCGCTGGCAAACTGGGTGGTCGGGAGGCCACGCCCACCAGACGTGAAGTCACAGCCAACTCCCACTACCACGCCACCACGCCCATTGGCAACGAGGCCAACCCACAGGCCCTAAACCAGACCACAGCTCCAAGGACACACCCACAGACCCTAAACCACGCCCATGGCTCCAAGGCCACACCAGATCCCAAACCATGCCCACAGATCCGAGGCCACACCCACAGACCCTAAACTATGTCCACGGCTCCAAGGCCACACCCAACCCTAAACCATATCCATTGGCAACAAGGACAACCCACAGACCCTAAGCCACGCCCTAGGATCCGAGGCCACACCCACAAACCCTAAACCACGCCCGTGGCCCCAAGGCCACACCCACAGACCCTAAAGCACGCCCATGGCCCCAAGGCCACACCCACAAACCCTAAACCACGCCCATGGCCCCAAGGCCACACCCACAGACCCTAAACCACGCCCATGGCCTCAAGGCCACACCCACAGACCCTAAACCACGCCCATGGCCCCAAGGCCACACCCACAGACCCTAAACCACGCCCATGGCCCCAAGGCCACACCCACAGACCCTAAACCACGCCCAAGGCTCCGACGCCACGCCCACAGCAGAGGTGCCTGCACGCAGCTCTAGCGCCCAGAGAGCACTAGGCGAGCAATAACGTTTGTTCCCATGTCAGAGACACCGGGAAAGGGTGGCTCCGTCATCAGTGTCAATGAGCAGATGGGGGTGGACAGGGCTGGCCCCGTTGTTTAGTCCCTCAGTCCCCACCACGGGCCACTAGCCAGTATGGTCGCCCGGCCTCCCTGTCCACGCGTTTCCCCCTCCCCCACATACACGCCCCCGAAGCACGAAGGGGCCCCCGCACTCACGGCAGAACCTGAGGAAGTCCGACTGCAGCTCCTTGCGCGCGTTCAGAAACATCCGCCCCTTCTCGGAGCCCACCACGAAGGCGCTCTCGTCGTGCACTGCCACGCAGGCCACCTCGGCGTTCAGCTTGGACAGCGCTGAGCACTGTGGGGCGCAGAGCCGGGGGCTGGAGGATGCCCACCGCCAGATCTGTGTGTCTGCTGGGCTTTGGGGGTGGGCGTGGGCTTTCCCAGCGGCTGGCGTGGGCACCCCAAACGGGTCTGGTCTGAGTGCGATGGGAATGAATGAACACCGCCACCCGCCCCCACTGCAGAGGCCGGAGAGGCATGGACCCCCCAGGTCCCCTACTGGGGGAGGGGGCAGATCCTGGGAGTGCAGAAGCCCCCAAAGAAGCAAGGCCCAGCCTGCTCGGTCCCAGTTTTCAATCTGTAGGCTGGCGCAAGGAGCCCAGGGTCTGGGGTGGGACTGGGGGGCCAGTGAGGCTCGTGGGTGGTAGCCGGGCCCAAAGGCACTTACGTGGCCCCTGCCACCAAGACCATCAGCCTGGCCAAGAGGCCATGGCAAGCCTGCAGGTGTTGCGTGCCTGATAAATAGCGCTTGGATCTGGGTTAGATGGTGGCACTCTGGGACAGACCTGGGAACTCTGGCTTCTGAGCTAGTGCTACTGCTGCGTGATTCAGGATAGCTCCTTAACCTCTCTGGGCCATAGTCAAACCTCTTGAACCAGCAGTGACCAGAGTCACTCTGAAGGGGGTGTAAGGAGCCCCGGTGTCTGGGTTTCTGGGCTTGGGACTGGGGGCCAGGGAGGCTGGTGGGTGGTAGCCAGGCTTAGGGGCACGTACATGGCCTCTAGGATCCAGGGCGGGGCTTCAGTTAGGGGCTGAGAGAGCTACAACAGTGAGCTGACCTGAACTTCAGTGATCATTAAAATTCAAATTTAAAAAATAGGGGCTGAAGTAATAGCACAGTAGGTAGGGCATTTGCCTTACACGCGGCCAACCTGGGTTCGATTCCCAGGTCAGCCGTGTACAACCCGGGTCGGCCGCATGCAAGCCCTACCCGCTGTGCTATTGCTCCAGCCCCGGTCTAGAACTTTTTGAGGTGAGAGAAATGCCCTATTTCCACAGTGCCCAGCTTGGCTGCCCCTAGCCACGTCTAGCCATAAACGAGGACTCGGAATGAGGCCAGAGTCGGGCGAGCCACTCAGAGCTGATGACCCGAGCTCCTTCTTGCATCAGTGCTGGTGTGGCTGGCGCTGCCCTTGGGGGCTGGACTCCAGGCTGCGAGGCCCAGGCCAGGGCTCTGGGAGCCCCTCCTCAGGAAGGCCACACTGCCCGGCTGCTGGAAGGGCCCGTCTCCCACAACGTCCAGCTCCCGGGCAGGACTGGAAGGGGGCTGGGTGCACTGCCAGGCATAGCCCCAAAACAAAAAACAAATGAACGAAAAAAACCTTTCAAAAAAAAAAACCCTACAGGATAGGTGATGGTGAGGGACAGGACTCGGAGGAGTCAGGATGTGTGGTCCCCCCACATTCGGTTCCCAGTGCCTGGGCCGGAGGGACAGGACAGCAGGGAGAGAGTCTGCCTTAGCGTGCAACCCACCAGGGTTCGATCCCCGGCATCTGGTGCGGTCCCTGAACCCACCAGAAGTAACCCCTGGGGATCCCTGAGTGTGGCCCCAAAACCAAACCAAGTCTGGTACCATACCCTTGAGCACCTCTGGAAGCAAACCCTGAGCCCCACGCTGGCTGTGGCCCCCAAAAGCAACACTTCCCCCGCCTCCAGAAGCAAACCATGTGTACAACATGGGGGAAAAAAACAAACGAGAAGCCAAAGTCAGTCACGTGAGCCGGCATGAGGCTCGAGGGAAAGAGATTTCCTTGCAGGCCGGGGCTCGGTCCCGAGTACCCAAAACAAACCCCAAAATCGACCTCAAAATGTAGGGACGGAGGGTGCAGGTCAGAGGGTGAACACCTGCCTTGTCCTGGGGGCTACTGGGTTTGATTCCCACCAACGGGATGATGCTGTGCTGTGTGACTGCAGGCGAGGTCCCACCCTCTCTGAACCCCGCTGCCTCGGACCGACAGGCAGGCTGCAGTCTGACCCAGCCCCAGCTTCCGAATGAACTGACCCCCGCCCCACCCGGAGGCCACTCACCATGGAGTCCAGGGCAGACACCAGGCTGGTGATGATCTCGTCTTTGCGGGTGAAGGCAGGAGTCCAGCGGTCGGGCCCGCAGCCGTTGGCGGGGATGGGCCCGTCACAGCGCTTCATGGTCACCTGTGGGGGCAGGGAGGGGCGGTTCAGGGGTGGGGGACAAGGCGGGGCACCCCAGGGTGGGGCACTCTCCCAGCAGGACAGGGGTCAAGCCTCAGTACTGGCCCTCATCCACCCCAACGGCCGGCAGAGCCACCGTGCCGGCCCCAAGTTTGCCAGTCTCCCGCCCCCGCCACGGCTCTGCCCACGGCCCCCCCCAGCCCCCCTGACTGCCCCCTGCCCCACAAGCCCCCTTTCCGGGTGGCCCTGTGCACGCACAGCTACTCCTCCTGGCCCCGGCGTCCTGAGGCCGCCTGCCTACTCAGCCACTCAAGTTCATGTCGGTGGAGTCAGTGGCCCCCTGTCCCCCCAGGCCCCCAACCCGGGCCCCTGATGGAAGTTCTTGCTGCTTCCTGTCAGTGGCCCCAGGGGAGCCCCGGGAGGACTCTGACCCGTGGGGGCCCCTCCAAGGGCTTCCAAAGGGAGCGGGCCCCCTCAACCCTGCACTGTTTCGAGCCAAAGGTCGGCTCCTGAGTTCTGTCCCCCCTCCTTCCCGGGCCCCCAGAGTCAGGTGGGGGGCCACTTCCACTGGGACAGCTGTCCTCAGGGTCAGAGCCAAGGCCAGAGAGCCCAGACCTGTCTGGGCCCCAGGATGGGGCGGGGCGGGGCCAGGCCATGGACAGGGCAGCTCAGGGCCTCGCTCAGAGCAGCAGGAGGCCCCCCCAGCCAGGGGCTCTGGGTGGAAGCAGACAGCACAGAGTGACATTAGCGACAGCGAGTGTGGCCCTGACCAGGTAGGAAGGAACTGGGAGGAATCAGGGTGGCAATCACAGTTCTGCCCTGGGGTCGGGTGGGCCCTGAGCAGGGAGAGCAGGGGTGAATCTGGGTGGGCCCTGAGCAGGGGTGAGGCCGGGTGGGCCCTGAGCAGGGGTGAGGCTGGGTGGGCCCCAGCAGGGGTGAGGCCACGGTTAGCTCCAGATGTGCCAAGGGCTCCATTCTAGGAACGGTCCCAAACTCCCCACCCCTTACCCAAGATTGAAATTTCCGGTTAGCAGAGTCCACAGGGACATACTCAGGGACTCCCAGGCAGCCTGGGGTCAACACCCCTGCCCTGGGGGAGGAAGCCCAGGTGAGGGTCTGTCCAGAGTCCAAGGATCCTCCCCACCCTTTGCCCCCCTGCCTGAGCCCCCAGCCTCTGAGTCATTCCCAGAAAGGTCTGGGCGGCCCTCCAGGCTCCAGACCCAAATTGAATCAGGCCGAGGCAAGTGACTCCAGAGCAGGGCTCCTTCCGGCATAGGCCTAATCCGGTTAGGGGCGGGGGGGGGGGGGGGGGGGCGATCCTGGTGGCTGGTGAGGCCATCTGGGCTCCCGGGACACTCTGGGCCCAGGCGTCTCCCAAACAGAGTGGGGAGGGGTGAACTGAGCCTGGCTCCCGTCTGCCAGGGCCCGAGACTTCCCACTGCTGTTGAAGTTACTTCCAATCTGACAGTGGGGTCTCCCGAGAAGCCGGAATGCTGCGGAGAACTGGGTTTGGACCCAGTGGACCGCTGCGAGCAGGTGCTTCAACCCTGTACTCCCTTGGCCCCCCCGCCCCCTCCGACTTTTTTTGTTTTTGGGTCACACCCGGCAATGCACAGGCATTACTCCTGGCCCTGCACTCAGGAATTACCCCTGGCGGTGCTCAGGGGACCACATGGGATGCTGGGAATTGAACCCGGGTCCGCCGCGTGCAAGGCAAATGCCCCACCCGCTGTGCTATTGCACCAGCCACCCCCGTCCCCCTTTTTTTTCCCCATTTCCCAACCTGAATGGGGGGTAGAATGCTGAGGGGGAGAGGGGTTTGCACCCAACCGACCTTCAGGAACGCTCAGGACGTGGGATCTCATGGGGAGAACCAGTTACGGGGCCGGAGTGAGCACAGGGTGGAGGGCACTTCCCTGGCACATGGCCGACTCGGGCTCAACCCCCGGCACCCTCATGGTCCCCCAAGCCCACCAGGAGGGACTCCTGAGCACAGAGCCAGGAGTAAGCCCCGAGAGCAGCCAGCCATGGCCAAACCCAAAACTATAAACAAATAAAAGGATCCGGAGAGAAAAGTCCAGCAGGGAGGGCGTCTGCCTTTCACTCAGCCAACCTGGGTTCAATTCCTGGCACCCCATATGGTCCCCCAAGCACTGCCACGAGTGATCCCTGAGTGCAGAGCCCTGAGCATCGCAGGGGTGTGGCCCCAAATCCAAAATCCAGAGAAAGAAAGAGAGAGAACCCGTAATACACAGGGCTCAGGGCCCCGAGTCTGCAACCCAGAACAGCACCAGGCTGGAGGTGGCAGCCCTGAGTACCTCAGGGCCTGGACTGATCCAAGGGCCAGCGGGCAGGGTCAGCCCAGGACATGGCCGAGGAAAGGAAAGGAGGGTCAGGAGGGCGGCCCGGGGCTGCCAGGTAACACAAAGAACAAGCAACCCAGCACCTGCCCTGTCTTGTGTTGGGCGCTGCCATAGGCTTCCTCCTGGCCCCGCACTCAGGGACAACTCCTAGCAGGGCTCAGGGAACCATACATGGTGCCAGGGATCGAACCCGGTTCTCAGCCAGGTGCAGGGTGAGTGCTCTCCGCACGGTCCTACCCCTCCAGCGCCATCTGCTCCCTCTCACTTTCTTAGAACTTAACAAAGAAATGCTGGCCCTCCCCTTGGGGACGAAGGTAGGAAGGGACATCTGCCTTCCTCTGAGCAAGCCCCCCATGTTCTCCCCCACCCCCCCCCCATTCTTTTCCCTTCTCTCTGGCCCTTGACTTGAATTCGGCCACTTGTTCTCCCGTCCCCTGCTTTGAAGCCTGACTTTTTCTCCCCCCTTTGGGTCACACCCAGGGCTTACTCCTGGCTCTGCACTCAGGAGTTACTCCTGGCGGTGCTCTGGGGGCCATATGGGATGCTGGGAATCGAACCCGGGTCGGCCACATGCAAGGCGGATGCCCTACCTGCTGTGCTATCGCTCCAGCCTCTGAAGTTGGACTTCTTGAGGATAAGAACCGAACACCACCGCAGCGATCCCCGGGGCCAAAAGGGGATCCCAAGTGGCCCAACACGCTCCCTTCCTCCAAAAAAGGGCTCAAAAATGATGAACTGGGTTGGGGATAAAGGTTCCAGGCGTGAGTTGAGTGCTCATGGGAGGCCGGGATTCACTGGCGCACGGCCAGGTCTAGCCACAGAGAACCCCCCCCCACCCAGCGCTGTGGGCCAGTCCAGGTACCCCCAAGTCACACTGCACCCTCAGACTGTGATGCTGGATCTGAGTCTGGCTGCACCATGTGGAACCCGCCTCCTCCGAAAGAAAACAAGGTGGGTGTAGAGGATGCAGTTCAGCAGTCAAGCACGTGTCTTGCAAGTGTGAAAACTTGCACCCCCCCCCAAAAAAAAATTCCTGAAACCCAACATGGAGCACTGCCAGTGTGGACGCGAGTAGGGTGACACGGGCTTGTCCTTCTTCTCCAGGCTGACTCCTCTCTGCTTGCAAGGAGTTTAATGAGTAACACCCATCCCAGTGCTCCCGAGGAAATGAGGCACTCCCGTCTTTAACTTCTCCTTTGCGCTCCGTTTCCCCTATCTGTTAAATCGCTCATTTCCCCTAAGCAGAACCTGTGACTTGTCAAGTCAGATTCTTCAGAGATCTGGATTTTGTAAGTGAAATGTTGCTTTTCTTTTTTCCTTATGTCCTTTGCATAGTTTACCTGAGAGCAAAGTATAGACACAGGAAGACAGCTAGTGCTATTATTTTTTTTTTTTTGGAACTTGGGAGTTAATTTACTCCTGGGCACCTGTCATATTTACTCGACGTAAGCCTCAGTTGCCCTTAGTTTCTAGTACCTGAAAAGTAGGGTCCCAACAAAGGGACTGGCAGTACCCAGGGCAAGCTGTAAGCTACCCGGGCATCGAAACGCGACAGACCAAGTGTCACAAAACTTATAATTAAGAGCACGGTCATGGACAAAATTCTCTCATGATCCAAAGAGACGTGACTGGACAAGGACCCTGCAAGGGTTAGGAAGAACTAACCTGGCCTGAGAACTGTAGTCTGGCCCCTATAGTGAGATGTCCCCAGGAGAGATGTCCCACCCTACAAGCTTAATATATCTCTTACTGTGTCCATACAAAATGACTAGAAAGATTATTAAGTAAATTTAAGATGATTGCTTAAATGCATATGGACTAAGGAAAGGAGAAACGTGCCCCTCGATGAAATTCCGCCTTGAGCTGATCTCCGGGCAGGAGGAGAGCTTTGTCTTAGAAGAGCTTCCCCGGAAGGAAGGGCTTTCATACGTTGTGCTATCTGACCTACGTGGAACTGCTACCCCCAGCCCCTGGTGATTGTTCGGTATAACTGAGGCGTGAGAGTGGGCGGGGAGGAGGCAGAATGGGCAGCCTGAGACTGGAACGGGAGGACGGAATGAACGGAGGGACCGAGATTGGAATCAACGGCGACTGGTCACCAACCAGCTTGGTGGCCCTGTTCCCTCCTTCAAACATCTGCCGGTGGCCAGCCTGGTTGGGAAGCAGCTCACGGTCACCATACACATTTCTTTTCTTCTACTTTTTTTTTTCTTTTTGGGTGACACCCGGCGATGCTCAGGGGTTACTCCTGGTTCTGCACTCAGGAATTACCACTGGCCGTGCTCAGGGGACCATATGGGATGCTGGGAATTGAACCTGGGCAATCGAACCCAGGAATCGAATCACATGCAAGGCAAACGCCCTACCCGCTGTTGCTATCGCTCCAGCCCCAACCATACACATTTCTTGTACACACAGACGCACCTGCATGGGGCAGGAAGCTTGCGAAAGGAGGGGTCCAAGTGATGGACAGCACATAGGGCGTCCACCGTGCAGGCACTTGGGGTCCCCTCGCCAGCATACACAGGGTCCCCCGAGTCTGCCAAGAGTGATTCCTGAGCACGGAGCCAGGAGTAACCTCTGAGCACTGCCCGGTGTGACCCCCAGACCCAAACCATAAATAAATAAAGCCTCCCTCTG